GCGTCTCTTTATTTTTAGTTTTGTTTCTCCGCCGATGTCGAGATTTCCCGGGTAATCTGCGGCGGCCAGAGATGGGGGTCGCGCCGGAGACGAGTGTGGAATATGTGCCCCCCTCTGGCGTGGCTTTTGAAGACATTTCACCTCGCGTAGAGGGGGAGCCGCCGTGGGGTAATGGTTGGCGCACAGGACGTGGAATTCGGAGGTCGCCGATCCTAATCGATATCCCGGTTTCGGCTGTTGAAACACTCGGGGCAAGGTTGCTACCCGCTCCCCGCCCCCATCGCCTCCGTCTACCCAGCCGTATAAATCGTTCCACTACAGTTGGTCGATGGGTAGGTCGCGTGTGGTCGGGTAAAATGTGGGTACTTCCGCCTCTTGCAATGTGCCTCGCCAGAGGGGCAAGAGGGCCTCTGTAAACCTGCCCCAAGTGGAGGCCCTTCCGCCAGCAGTGGCGTGAGCAGGAAACTGCAGGGCTGCGCCTTGACCCTCTGTCCTTGCTTATGCGGAGTGACAACCGCCCTGTCGAGCTGACCACATCTCCGCCCCTCTCCCACCCCCCCCCCCACCACTACCCCAGGAGTGGTTATTTATCTTCCACATGCACCGTAAATGCCACGCTTAGGTAAATGAGCAGATTTACAAGAGGGGGGAAGAGAAGCGGTGCTGGCTCGCGCAGAGCGCCATGAATCTGGCGGTACGAGTGGCAAGTAAAATATGTATTTCTCTGCATATCTGAATCGATCCTGGGCTTTTCCCCTCCACAACTTCACCAGTCCACATTGACCAACGCGGTCGAGCATGGTCCAATAACCCTCATGACCGACACGCCATGGGGAGAGGCCTTTAATTCGCCGATTGACACAAAGCACTATAAATTAACCACCGGTGTCGTCATCGATGTCATTTTATCCACCCGTGGATGGAGAACCGCATCTTAGTTGTATATGCTTTATGCAATAAATAATTATAATTAGCGCACTCAAATGCACCTTGGCGAAAGTGTGCCTCCTTGTGAACGCCACTTTTGACGTGACTCACATTGCGTTAGCAGGCGTCGTGTGGCTGTTGCTAGCTTGAGCGTCGTGCAGCAGCTAAACCTGTTTTGGCAGTCGTTTGAGGACACCAAATGCAACGCGTTCATCAATAAAAACGCCGCGGCCTTAAAAAAAAATGTAATCGGCAACGTTGTGCGCAGTGGCCCATATTCATGGCACATAATTAGCGAGGCCCGCGGACACAAGAGTTTGAGGTCACGCTACCCACCACCGTGGAGTCTGATGGAGTCTGACAGTCATCTTCTGCTGCCCGAGACTCGCCCATCCCTCCCGGTCGCCCTCCCGCATCAGATACCGCGTCCGGCCTTGCGGCTCGGATTCCTAGCGGCATTCCTGACTGGTAACAGTGGCCCGCGTTGTGAAACCTCGCGCGGCCTGTCGCACCTTGGTCGACCCACCGGTGTTGGGCGAGCGACCCGCCGCGCCGTGCGGGTCGCCCTGCGGGCTCGTCGTCGATCGGACTTCTCCGCGCTGGTCGGTGCGGGTTGGTTACTAAAGGTGTGGGGAGCAGTTCAGATGTCACCCGTCACTGATTGTAGCCGCGGCTGGGAGTGAAGCTCAGGTGGCTGTAGCACCGTGTGTAGATGTTGTATCAATCTGCTGCTGGATGAGCACCACCTCCCTCCCCCATGGCATGCGGGAGCTATTTTGACGATAGTTGTCCATGAGTTAGTGAGGGCGAGGATCGCAGGTGTGGGGGGGGGGGGGGCACAGCATTTCATAACTTTGGATTTTGCTGCACTCCCCTGTGCTGCGCTAAATGTAGCCCCGTGGCCTGTAGCACCTGTGATGCATGGTGGCCGCCCAGGACATGGTGACTGTTCCCATATCCAGGCGTACCACTGCTTAGCTTCCGATATTTGATGAGAATCGGTCGCATTCTAAGTGATTTGGTCATGGGTTACTTGATAAATACGAACTGATGTCCTTTATTTATCCAGAAACGCTTCGGCGACTCTCACGACTCTCTCTTACGGGAGGGTCCTGCGTTGCGACGTTTGGCCCATCCAATTTTAAAAGTGATTGTCGCGTGGGATGAAACTGACGAGCCAGGAGGTAAGTCGCCCAGCGTACTCAAAGCTTTGCACAGAGAGCTTCAGTCCACTCCTGCACGGTCGTCCCCGCATGATGCCAGCTCAGCCGGCACTAGCAGAAGAGGCAAGAGAGAGGGCCCTGTTATCTACCTTTGTGGAGCGAATCTCCATAAAAACGACGCGATAAAACATCTTTATTCAACCGAGGAACAGCTGACCCACGCAGCCTTGCGTTAAACAACACACACTGGCGAGCGATGATGATGAAGGCTGTTGGGATTGTTGTGGGCAGCTGCTTGGAAAGATCGTGGCCGATTGCTACTTCTGGCGCAGTCGGTTGATGTTGATGGTGGCTTTGTCGTGGGGACTGTGAAAGTGCCGGTTGTCTGCAAAACAGAATGCAATCAACATTTGTCGCTGGGGGTGGCTGCACTGCGGGCTATTTCGTCCGGGTGTGGGTGTTTGTCATTTCAGTCTGCGATGAGCGCATGATGCGGTTATTGCAGTGATTACACGCGTGTGCCCACTCATTATGACGCAGCGGTGTCTGGTTTTAGCTCTCTCGCTGATCTAAACAAGGAAGACCTGGCGCGGATCATTTATAAAAGGGCGAAAAGCAGGACCCTTACAAATATCACACGGCAACACCTCCGGCACTTATGGACAGACATAAAAGGGAAGGGGGCCTTTGCGTAATGGTTAGCACACTGGACTTGCAATCCAGAGGTCACCGGTTCAACCTCTTTGGTGCCGCCAGGAGCCCATAGCTTAGACAGAGTACTCTTGCCAACAACACCAGTTAACCCCGCAACAGCTTTCCTTCAACAAGCCTGACTGCCGATGAGACCCAGAAAGACCCACCCCCCCCCCCCCCAAAAAAAAAACCCACCACAGTCTACACAAAGTCTGCTGGATAATATTGCTCTGTGTGGCCAGTTGGCCGATTGACACATTTATTTGTGTTATTTTTCACGTTGGAGACACGGCGTGGAGCTCTGCGCCTGGTGATTTCTCCGGCTCATTGCCGATATTCACAAACCACTTGGCCTCTTCCATTGTCTGCCAGAAGGCCTCCTCACTCCCCCCGCCTTGCCCCGCCTCCACTTTCCACTTCCACCCCCCCCGCCCTTTGTGCGAGGTGAGCGTCGCCACATTTAAACTTCCGACAGCGCCGCAGCGATTTCCCTGCGCGCGAGCTCAGCTGCTTCCCACGTCCCTCGCAGCTGCGCGTGCGGCGTTTGAGCGCAGAATCCGGGTCCGGGACTTCCTCCCACACCCCCCCCCCACCTCAACACCCCCCCCACCCACCTCCCCACCCACCCCCCCACCCACTTCCTCACCCCCCCACCACCCCCCCACCTCCCCCCGCACCCACCCGACCCACCCCTTGTCCGATCGCGTTGACGTCTTTTGCCCAGTGGGACAGCCGAGCCGTGATCGGACGGGGAGGGTTGGAGCCCAAGTTCAAGTTTGTTTATCGGGGTGAGGACTCGACGGACCGACAGAGGAGCCTCACTTGCGAGAGCGACCCGGGGGCGTTGGCCCGCCAGCAGGGGGCGATGATCGATGTTCAGTGGAATCCCCGAGTGAGATTCACTTGAGTGGAAGAGCAGCAGCGCTCGCGCGAGAGTTGAAGGCTCCGAAACCGCGTGCACTGCTCATCGGCCCCGGCCGCTTTCCAACTGTTCACAAACTCTCTCTCCCCCTCATTGCGTTTTAAAATCCACTTTGTGGCGCTACGGAAAAGCGCGCTAATTGTCTCGCTAATTGGCTCGCCGTGAACTCTTCTCGCGCACGCGGCTCACACTCTTGCTGGAGACGTTGGGCGCGGAAGCTGCGAACGTCGGGCGGACGTCGAAACCAGGGGGTGCCGGAAAGCGTCTGGCGGGAGGAGAGAAGGGGGCCTTAGTTGCGGCGTGGCCTCTGTGCCGTAGTCAACTCCCTCTCCATATATGGCACATTCCACAGTCCATTTCCTCGCATGCTGGGGGGCCTCGCAGAGGGCTGGCTCACTCGCGAGCGCTTCTCCGGGGTGGCTTTGCTCGTGAGATACAGAGGTACGTGTGTGTGCACGCGTGTGTGCGCGCGTGTTTTTTAATGAGAGGAGGTGGTGGTGGTGGGGGGGGAGTTCTTGCGCAATGAGTCACAGCTCCAGGGTGTGCCCGCGGTTCTCCGCTCCCAGACACGGCGAGCGCGTGCGTGCGTGCGCGTGCGTGCGCGTGCACCAATGCGGCGCAGATGTTGTGACTTGGGCTCTGGGAGAGGAAACTCGCTCGCTCCGCCGCGCCTGGTGGCGGCTGCGAGCGAGAGACAATCCCAGACAGTGCTGATGCACGATTGCGAGCCGGCGTGTGGCGACAAATTCCGGGGTTGAAGGAAACCTGTTGTGCCGCTCGTGTTCGAGAGGCTGCTGCGGGTGGGGGGTGATTACACGCTGTTGCCGCTGCTCTTCCGCGGAGCTGCCGCCTGTGCCGCCAGCAGTTTGACGAGAGTTGCCGCCTGTGCCGCCAGCAGTTTGACGAGAGTTGCCTGGGAGCCTCGGGGGGTTGGTGGGTAATCGCACGATGACGACGACGCCAACAAAATACTCGGTCGACAAACTTGCATGTGAAACTTGTTGCGGGCGTATCTGAAGCGCCCGCTTTGCAAATTGGTTGTCGGGACACGGTGACCCAATTCTGGCTGCGGGTCGGCGCTGACACCAACGGCGGCACTGACACCAGCAGCAGCAGTAGCAGCGGCCAGCGGCGTGTAGCACTCATAAAGGGTGCAGTGTGGGAAATTTGCCCCACTTTGTGAAAAGAGGTCGTCGCGTGCGATCGCGCTGAGAGTGGCGCGCCGAGCCCCGAGCGAGCTGGACAGCCCTCCTCCATGTCGCGCTCACTCTCCCTGCGCGCCTGTTTCCGCGCAGAGCCGTCATTTCGGGGGCTCGCGTGGCCCACGCTCTCGCGGCCACAGCACGAGGCTCTCGCGGCATCCCCGGACGGCGCCGCCGAGAACGGAGGCGGCGAAACGCTTCTCCGCCACGCCGGCCGGCCCGTGGCGGAGGCATGCGGCGCCGGCGGGCAGCGCTCGGCCACGGACACGGTCAAGCTGCGGGCGCCGCTGAACGAGCGACTTTCGGACTCCATGGACGCTCGCGGCCCCTGCGACGGCCACGGGGGCAGGAGGCGGTCTAGCGTCGTGGGCGGCCTCGACTACGAGGACGGCTGCGCCCGCGGAGACGCCGCGGGGAGGGCGGCCCCGACGTTGGCGGACGCCTGGAGGGTCAGGCAAGAGCGGGCGGCTGCGGGTGGCCACGCGGAGAGCTGGCAGGAGCAGCACTATCGGAGAGCGCCAGGCCCAAGAACGCAGGTTAGCGTATTCGCGTGCCGAGTGCAGTATTGCCACGTTATTCACGAACTTGCTAGCTGCGCTGCGAGAGAAAGGAAGTGATGAGATAAAGTGATGAGATTAATTTAAAATCATTTATTTTAAAGATAGGGTTTCATAGGCCAATGTCATTATCAGCGAAATTTGCTTTTCAAGAGTATCTCTGGAACGTATCACTCGTGAATAGCGAGGGAATACTGCATACACATGTCCACTTACAGCCATGGGGTACCACCACCGCCATCAGCATGCTCTCATGGACAATCGTGTTATACTGCGGGCTTCATATCTCACTGCATAGTTGCTAGGCTGCCAGTAGATTGGAGGAGGCACACGATAAGCAACCACAGCCACAGAGAGAGGTATTATTCTCGATGTGGCGTCCCGGGTGTGGAACATCACATCTGGACAGATCCGGCTGAAATTCAGCCCAGGTGACATCGCCACCACAATTTGACGGGCGTGGTAAACAACCCATGGTTCATGTTCCCTCTTTGTGCACAAACTCAACAGGAGTGGTGTGTTTTTTAGTTCCGCCGTGCGTTTTTTCGTTGTTGTAAATGTGCACTCGCGTTCGTTCGCGCGGCAGGAATTCCAGTTAAAATTTTAATTGTGAGCGCAGATCCTCGTGAAACTGTCGCGGGGCGGCTGATGCGTAACCTGGGCGCCGTGTGGCAGCATTTTAGTGATTTATTTAATTTGCCAATGGCTGCTGCGCTGGGCTTAGTTTCAGCCGGGTCCGTCTGGGGCTGGCGACCAGGTAAACATATTTCTCGCCGCTCGGCACACCACGTCCAGTATTGCCTCCTGTCACTATGGCCGTGGTTACGGAGTCACGTGCCAGGTCGCCGGTTGACCGGTTGACCGGCGACCTGGAAAATATTCGATGAGAGGCGAAGCCCTCGGTCCTGCGTGAAGCAGGCAAAGCAGCGGAGGTTTTGAACGGCCATGCAGAAGTGACCGTGCACTTGTGGCACGTTCGTCACGCGGCATCTGGTTCGTCATCCCCCGCTTGACGCTGTCATTCATTTTCCGTTAGCGTCAGCATCGTCTGCGTAGACAAACTACTTGGTGGTGGTGCTTCTGCTGCTTTGCTGGTGGTGCACAAGCACAAATATATATATTAAAAAACACCTCAATACATTAGACAATAACATTTTGGCCTTAAAAATGAAAAAAAAATTGGTGACGTTTTGGGCAAATGGCCCTTTACGTGCCAAAAATAATGTCCATTGCCCCCGAAACGTCGATTTTGAAGTCCACAGTGTTGTTGACGAATGTGCGGAGTTTGTTTTTAGTTCTGTGTGTACAGCTCATTTAGGCTCATTTATTTCTAACCAGAGTCCTCATTTCTGCGGTTTGGCCTCTTGAGGCCTGAGGAATTGCAGTTAATCACCATCGTGAACACATTGCACTCAGGGCCGCCTCGAACAAGGCCCTGATTGTTTTGAAGTTGCGTGAATTAAACAAATAATAGGCGGAGTACCTCGTGACTTTATAAAGAGCGTGTGAAAGAATTTGAAGAAAATCACGGATTTAAAAAGTGTGGTTTTTATGAATGATACGTTAGTCAGTGGCCTGCGGGTTGCTGCCTAGGCATAATGGTTAACGCACACGAGACTAGGAATGTTCCATCGCCCGACTCTCCCGCAGTTGAAACGGTGGGGCAATCTTCTTCAATCCGCCCACATCCCCCTCCGGGACCCCGCTTCGGTCCACGTGCAGCCCGAATGGGCACAACTACAATTAGTTGATCGCCATTAGGTCACGTGCGATGGGGTAAAGTGTGGGTACTCCTCCCACTTCTTTTTAAGATGGTCTGACCAGCGTGGAAGAGTCACAAAATAACCCCACGAGTGGAGCTCTCGAGAGGTGCTGCTTCGAGCGGAGGCCCTTTCCCCGGCAGTGCTGTGAGCAAGCAGTTGCAGGGTGGCTGCACCTTGACCTGTTCTTGTTGCTTGCATGTCAAAACATGGGTCCTGCTTTCTGAGATTGTGCTCGATGGCGGAGTGAGTCCCCATCGCTGGGCTGACGGGTCGTGGTTCAATCTCTGACGGGTCGTGGCTCAATCTCTGATGGGTCGTGGCTCAATCTCTGACGGGTCGTGGTTCAATCTCTGACGGGTCGTGGCTCAATCTCTGACGGGTCGTGGCTCAATCTCTGACGGGTCGTGGCTCAATCTCTGATGGGTCGTGGCTCAATCTTTGACGGGTCGTGGTTCAATCTCTGACGGGTCGTGGTTCAATCTCTGACGGGTCGTGGCTCAATCTCTGACGGGTCGTGGCTCAATCTCTGACGGGTCGTGGCTCAATCTCTGACGGGTCGTGGCTCAATCTCTGACGGGTCGTGGCTCAATCTCTGATGGGTCGCGGCTCAATCTCTGACGGGTCGTGGCTCAATCTCTGACGGGTTGCGGCTCAATCTCTGTGGCGCAGGCCCAGGCGGTGGAGGAGGACATGCGGGAGAATGGAGAGATGCCGCCGGTGCTGGCGCTGGCGCACGCGCCCATCGTAAGTGGAGGGGTCTCGGTTACCGCCGCGTTTCGTGTTAGTTGGGAGCTGCCACCGCCACTACCACCGCCACCGCCATCACCATCACTATCACCACCACCACCACCACTGCCGCTAGCATCACCATCACCACCATCGTCGCCGCCATCACCATCACTATCACCACCACCAATGCCGACGCCACCACCGTCGCCGCCGTTACCATCACTACCACCAACACCACCACCATCATTGTCACCACCCCGACCACCACCGCTACTACCGGTACCGTCACCACTTCAACATGTAGGCTTTCGCGACCAATATTGTTGATAGTAAAAGTTTTTGGGTGAGGTGGCGTGAATATAAATGTGTCGACACATTTATGTTTACGCGATCTAAGCCAAAAACCTTTGCTATGAATATCAGCACCACCACCATCATCATAACCACCGCCGCCATCACCACCAGTGGCTAAAGCAAGCATTCATGGGGTCTGCTTTAAATCCACACTAACTTAGTCACACGGTGATGTTGTTCTCCACTGCACGGCCGTGCCAGCGCGTTACAAGGTGTAAGCCCCGTCACTGGGCAGTGCTACGAGGAGGAGGGGTGGGGCCCAGATTGGAGAGCACGGGGGGGGGGTCACGGGTCACAGCGACCCCCCCATCCCAATAAACATTCACCGCCGAGTGTACAGTGACGCACTGCTCAAGGCAAATGCGTTTCTCCCCCAGCTCTTTCTCCCCCCTCGCGGTAATCTCTGGAGATGTGATCCCCGGCGGCGCTCGTGCTGAGGCCCTCTATCGCGCCGGGGTTTGTCCATTTGGCGAGTAATGAGCCACTGGCCTTCCGGCGAGTCGATTAACTGGTTACGATTATGAGACGGGGTCGCGATTCTTTTCCAGAGTTGATTCACAAGAGACGCGGAGGACTTCGTCGTCCAAGTGATTTTATTCATTGTTGTTTTAGTGATGATTGTGGCACCTTTGTCATAGTCTTACCGTCACTGGTGCCCAGCAAAGCAACCGTCTACAGTACACAGGGGTTCACTCCATGCTGCGCTTCGTTCGTCACTTTAATGGGGAATGAAACATAATAAACACTTCGTTTATAGTCGTAGTAGTGGTACGACAACGATTTGTGAAAATTATCGTAATTCAGCCTTCTGCTTCTAACAGCCATCCACAATCGAGAAATCACGTGGTTAAAATGTTCTTGCCAGCTTTCCAGCTTCACTTACCGCCTCTCATAAAACCACATTTTGGAAAGGTATTTCACGTCGTCGTTGTTGTTGTTGCGTGCGTGCACATTTTTGGTGTATATGCTCCTCAACTCATCGGCAAAAATGACGGACGCGTCGCGCGGTGTGGTAACGCCGTTGAGGACGACGTGTCGGGGCTTCGCGTCGGCTGGGCGCCGATTCGGCGGAGGCTCGAGCGGTAGCCTCTTGCGAGGTTAAGCGCCCCTCCGCGCCGGACACCGGGAGCCGCAGCCTGCTGAGAATTTGCTCGCTCCGTCTTGGCCCGTGTGCAAGCGGTCGTGTCTGCCGCTCAGCACTCGCGCCCGCCGCGGTGGCCGGTGATGCGAGGGGGAGATGCCGGCAGCCATCGACTGCGCTTGCCCGTGCCTCGTCGCCCGCGGCCAAACGAAGACGGGGGCCCCTCTGCCCCCCCGCAAGCCGCGAGGGCCATTAATCACTGCATGTGCGCGTCGCCAAGGTCGCGCGCGCATTAAACGATTAGCGAGTCAACCCCGGCGGAGCGTCCCGCTTTGACGTTTTCTTTATTAATATTTAGCGCTTCCGAGGTGGTGAAGGGTGGGGGGGGGGGGGGGTGGGGGAGGGGTGGTGGAGTTTTTTTTTTTCCAGTACAAATTCCGCGCGAGCGATTGCCCAAGTGCCGCGGTTATTCCGCTTTGGCGCCGCGCGCTCACGTCCGCTCCCGCCGCTTCACGACCTCCCCCCGGTGTGGTTTTGGGAATGTCCCGCCGTGATTTCCGACGTTTTGCTCCACGTGCCCGGGCGCTTCTTCGGGAGCAACGTCGGCGGGCACGCGACCCCGAGCGAACGCGCTGCGGAGGGAGCCGCGCGGCACGGCCGCGTGGACCTGCGCAGTCGCAGAGCCGCGACCCGACTGCCGTTGTGCACCGCCGGAAATTTCGAGCATCCCCCGGCGGATATCGCGCGGCGTAAACCAGGGGCGATGACGCGACTGCTCCGGTCCTCTCTGTAATCTGACCGATAACCAGCGGGATGCATTCGTGAGAAGGGCACTCTCAACTTGGAGAGGGTGTGTCTGTGTGCACCCCTGCATAGAGGGATCTGCGAGCATTCGCGACGTCTACCGTGACACCGTGCATCTGCAATCGAACCAATAACCACTGGGAGTTGTTCGCCAATGGGACGGGCAGCCCCAACTTGCAAAGCGCGCCTGTGTGACTGCGGCTGTAGCTGCTCACAAGTTCTCTCCCCGTGCGCCCCCAGGTCTCCACGGACTCGGAGAAGCAGATCGAGGTGCTGCGCGTCGACAACGAGCGCCTGCGCAGGAGGCTGGCGGCACGCGAGCCTCCATCGCCCACGACGGCGCTCCCCGAGACTGCTCACCAGGGCCTGCACCTTGTGAGTGCTGCTGATGGGACGTGGTGATGGGACGGTGGCGATGGGACGGTGGCGGTGGGACATTGGCGATTGGATGGCCAAAGCGAGATTTTGCTGGATTGAGCATTGAGGAAGTGCTTAACTCCTGTTTACAGCCCTGCGCAGGTAGTGGTGGAAATTCCACATTCTTGTGGTGGCGGAGAGTCTTCAGGAAAGTTTTTGACTTCCCCCAAGGCGGTATTTTTTTAATCGACGCCGGAGAGATGATGGGCTGAGTCAATCCCCAATTAGGATTTTAACTCGCAACCTTCTGATTGCGAGCCCCTCACTCTACCCCTGAGCCACCAGGCCGATGGGATGGTGGTGTGGGGTTGATGGTCATAAGTGTGTGGTGATGGGTTAAGGTTAGTTGAGGGTTTCCCTAAGGATTTCTCCCATTGAACTGGCTCTGTATGGAGTTTGCCTGCTGATACAAGGGTGATGGACAAAATATTTCGCCTATTTTAATTTTGAGACAGTCCCTTGTACATTTAAAAAAATGTATTAATGTATTCCCTAAACACTCATAGTTTGACTTCCATATGTCCTGTAGCATCCATCGATCACAGGGTTCAGTGAATTGAGCGGCAGTTTCTCGGAAGCTTCAGCGCTAAGCCGGCGGTGATATTCTTTGTGTTTCACAAGTAATTTGACGTTAAGAGAACCAACAAACGTTAGAACCCGGCAATAATCAAAAGCCACCAGACGTATTCGTGTCACAGCACAGAGAGAGAGAGAGCGAGGCGGCTTTGAGTAATTATCCTCGCAGCGCGTCAGCTTTGATCAGGGGTTGGTGGCGGAGCTGGCGTGTGGGATTAAGCCGTGTGCTGCTCGCGCCGATATCGCCGTGACGCTCTGGAGGGGATGCCGAGTGGAGCTGCCTCGCTTGGCGGACGGACGAGGTTTTTAATTCCATGGGCTCCGCCCCCAAACGCCTTCGGTGCCGGCTCGGGGACGACGCCCTTTCCGGACGCATGGCACGGGCGGCCTCTACTGCTGCCGCCGCCGCCGCCGCGGCGTTGTGGGCCCCCCGACTCGGCCAAGCCGTGGCGCGTCCGCCGCTTGTTGCTGCTATTGCAGGTGTTCGCAGTTCGAGCCCAGCGGCCGCCCTGGTTAATGCTGCGGGCATACGAACCGTGAAAAAATACGTGCCGTCTGCTTCACGGTGGATGTTAAAGGTCCCCTGGAGTTATTTGAAAGAGAGTAATGCCACGTGCCGCCGGCGTCGCGGTCCGAATTTGGTTCGGTCCCAACCCTGATAATTACATGCAAATTACGGAAATAATGAATTGGATAAAACCGTTTTGCAACAATGCCCTGTACCATCAGATTGCACCCGTCTGTGAAACATAGCACCTTTGCAGTACCCAGGCTTATTAAGTATAAAATCGTTCCGCCTGGTTCACTTGCTGTGCTGACATTCACATTCACACACACACAGACACACACAGGCCAGTGAGCACAGGCCTGCAAGGAGGTGGGTGGCCCTTTCTGTATGGGCGTGTGGATAGCTAGAGCAGTGTCGTGTCGAGTATCTTGCAGCTACTAAGTGGATCTGTTTTTTTCATGTTTTTATAATAACTCAGCAGGAGCCTGGTACGGGGGGGGGGGGGGGGTACGGGGGGGGGGGTGCGGGGGGAGCACATAAACTCCACGGACACAGTTCCACACTAAGGCCCCACGGTGAACAGTTATTGTGGCATGTCAATCAAACATGATTGCTTGAATTCGCACAGTTGGAATTTAGCCAGCTTAAGTGAAGAAATAAACCCAATTTGGATGTTATTGGCGGCTGAGGCAAGACTCGACAACCCGTTTCAACCGTTGGTATTTGGCCAGATTCAAACCCTTGATCTCAGCGGGGCCAGTTCGGCGCTGTGACCCCTGACCCCCACGTTCGGCGGCGGTCGCCGCCGCTTGTTTCTGTGTTGGTTTTCAAAATGGCCGTCGCTCTCGTGTTTCACTGCCGCGCGCGCAAAGGAGAACTTGCGGCTCAAGTCGCGGGTCGCTCAGCTGGAGGACGACCTCAAGCGGAGGCTCGAGAGGCTGGAGGAGCTGGAGCAACCCGGCGTCAGGGCAGCACAGCAACAGGGACAGGGCAAGGAGACTGGCTCGGCAGGGCAGCCCAGGAGCCCGCCGCCGCTGCTCAGCAACGGGAAGATGATGTCACTCATGAAGGTGCTTGCTTGCTCTGAAGTGTCGACAAAGGACTAAAATGATTTTCCAGGATAACCCACGGCACCCTCCGTGGCCGTGCCCCTCGGCTAGAGAGCCGCCTCCGCCTACCCCGCCACCACCACCACTGCGGGCACCTGCAAGCGGAGGTGCCTCTTTATGCACCGCGCTCCGTGCGGCCGCTCCGCAGATCGTCCTGCAGCGCCGCGTTCTTGGCCTTATTCTGGGAAATCATTTCATTTGCGTAGGGGCCCCTTCCCGGTTCACGCGCTGGCGATTGCAGTTTCTGAGCGCAGGCCCAAAAACGCCTAGAGGTCGGCAAAAGATATAGAACAATCGTTGGTGTAATAGGGAAGAGTGAACACGCTTTTTGATTTGAAGCAAAGAGATGACAGTCGGAGGAGCAGCACAGGGAAGGAAGCAGAAAGAGAATTGTTGTGAGCTGCGTTTCGGTGCTTGGAACTCATTCCCTGTAGCGGTGGGAACCCTGCGGTAGATGTCGCCGTGGCAGCGAGTGAATGAGCGAAAGCGTGAGTGAACGAGTGAACGAGCGAATGAGCGAGCGAATGAGCGAGCGAAAGATTGTGCAAACTAACGAGCGAGCAAACTAATGAGCGAGCGAGTGCGTCTCCTTTATGCGCGGTCCCAGCACAGCGCTGACCTGCCTCCCTGCAGAAAATGTCCCAATTTTTTTTCTTAATTAATGCGTTTATGTACGAGACTTCAAAGTAGCCAGGGATTTTACGGGTAATGAAAAAATGCTTTTAAATATCGCGTCATTCATTGGCGGCTGCGGCAGCTGTGGTGAGAAGCACGTCCTCGCGTGACCTATGTACGTGCTTGCGTGTATACATATTCCTGCGTGTGTGTGTCCATCCGTGTGTGTGCGCGTGTCTGTACGAACATGTGCGCATGCGTGTGTGCATGTGGTGGGAGTGGTGGTGTAGCGGTCATCGCACTGCGCTACGAACCCAGAGGCCCGAGTTTGATTCCCGCTCACGGCCAACACTGGTTACGATTATCTGAACCGGTCCTGGGTCTCCCCTAGGTCGACTCGGCCTCAAATGAGTACCTGGTGCGGTGATGCTGCCTATGCCACCCTCCTTCATGCACCGTGCCAGCCTTCATAGGTGCTCATTGAATGTTAACTACCTCGCCTGGTATACAGGAGGTCGTGGGTTCAATCCCAACCCTGACACCTGTATATTTGGAGTTTGCATGTTCTCCCCGTGGTCGCGTGGAATTTTTCTGCAGGGCCTCCAGTTTTTCCGTCCACATTCAGAATCAACGTGCGATTTGAGTATTTAGCTGCCATAAATGTCCACGTGATAAGCCACTTTGTTGAGCTATCATTTGTGGCCGGGTCTCTTCGACAAAAAGAGCTCTATAGCTCAGTGGGACTTAACTGGTAAAATAAAAAAGTTTAGTTTTGGTATCTATCAGTGGATTGAAAAAGTGCTGTAATCTGTCATTAGTATTACTGTTAGCCTTGGGTGTGTCCGTGCTTATGCGAGCGTGCTTGCGTGTGCCTGCGCTCGCGGGTCTCGCCGTGCCCAGGGTATGGGGAGGCCCAGGGACCCGGACCCCACGGGGGGGGGCAAGGCCCCCCACGTGCTCAAGGCCGAGAACGCGGCGCTGCAAGACGATCTGCGGCAGCTGCGGGGCGAACGGGAGCGGCTGCACAAGCTGCTGCACGGATCGCAGCGCACAGAGAGGCACCTCCGCTTGCAGGTGCCTGGGGGGGGGGGGGGGGGGGGGGGGGGGGGGGAGCTCTAGCCGAGGAGCACGGCTACTGTGGGGCCTGTAGCACATGTTATGAAGGGGCCTAAAATAAAAAAAACGCACGTAAATATTAAAACACGTACATTTTTTTACTTGCATAGTAAAGTAATAGAATTTTTTCATTTGCTATACAGCCAGATAATATGACAAATTGCTAATCTTAAACACTCAGTCTATTCATAAAAGTTGAAGGCAGTATAGTACTATAGTAATAGAGCAAGTGCAGAATCACTGAACCGGAATTGATAGCGTGAACGCATTTAGTGCGGGGCCCTTGAAAGTACGGGGCCCGTAGCATATGCTACTTTTGCTACTAGGATCATCCGACACTGGGTGCCATTGGGTGTCCGTTAGGGTTATCCTGGGAAATCTGTCGGTTATCCGTGGACTTTCAAAGTCTCGGGTTTTCTCAGCTCTAATTGATGTTTGGGTTAGGCCACAAACATGATCTGACCAGATGTGTGTCATGAACCCTCCGCCAACCGACACAGCCAAATAAATTAGATTGTCTGCCGGTACTTGTAATTTAACCTGCCGACTTACTATTTCAACTCTGTGGGTAAATTGAAGAAAGGCAATCCTCACAGCCAAACGTGGCAATTAGAGACGACGTTTCGTTTGGAAGTACACCAAACATAATCGGGTAAAGGATCCAGTCATTGGCATATAGCTCCTCCCCTCTTCCATGACGTGGCGACGTTTCAGCCGCGTGCGATTGGACTGGATTCCCGTACATAGCGAGTCGACTGGTCTCAGCCCGGTCACCAATGATTTCGCAAAAAGCCATTACGTTGAATTCGTTGCGTCAAATCATTTGGATTAACCTTCATTCGAAGAATTAAAAAAACCCCACCAACCCATCGCGTTGGATCAGGATCAGCGCCCTCTCGTGGTGTAGATACAAAAAAAATCGTTTGAGGTCACCTCAGAAGTGGTCCTGTGATCTTTTTTTTTCTTAACCGAGGCAATGCGCGGGCGCGTTTCAAGCGCGTTGTGTCGCGCGTTCGACCCGATGGCGCGAGTTAACCCGGTTAAAAGAGAGATGAGGGGGTAGGAAGAGTGGGGGGGGGGGGGGGGCTGCTGCCCCTCACAAGCCGGGCCACCGCGGCGGGGTGAGGTTTAGGTATTTAAGTAAGGGGCCAGGGGGCGGGTGTCAAGGAAAGTAACGGGTGCAACCGAATCACCCTGAAAGTAAAACAAGACAGGTATCAAGGCGGCTAATGAGCGTTCGCGCTTCTCCTCTGTCTGCGGGGGGGGGGGGGGGGGGGGGGGGGACACCACCGGCGCTCATGCCGAAAAATGCAACTCGGATAAAAAAGTGAAAATAATCATCACCACGGCACAGCACAGAAGCGTTTTCGGTTGAACGAGTTGTGCGCGGAATCGGCGAGGTTGACGACACACCCTCGTTCCAGCGATATATTTTGAGGCCCGCTGTGGCTGGTGAAGTCATGTGTTTGTCGCCCAGAAGGCAAAAATCGCTTTACCGAATAAAATCCCACTTCAGTCGGGGTAATTAAAGGGCGGTGCCATGTCCCCGAGGGTTGTGTGTGAGACGTGTTGGCATGGGAACGCTGCATTAGTGCCCACGGTTTCTGATTTTTATTTTAACTCGACTATTTATGACAAACGTTTAGCCAAGGTGCGCCGCTGAGACGCGGCGTCTCATTGGCCGAGCACCGAATACCCCGTGCCGTGACGTGAGCGGGAATATTATTCCGTATGTATGTGTGTGCATGTTGAACTTTTTTCGCACCACACATGGCCAACCGTGCTAATCCGAGGTGCTCATTCCACGCTGACCAGCAATAGTGAAGTATGGCCACCCACCCCCTTTGTACGCCGTGTTGGCCTTCATAGGTGCCCGCTAACAGCACTCGCCCCAAGAATCTGTTCAGGTTATGACCAGGGGGTCTTTGCTTTTGTCTCGTGGTGTGATGGTAGTGGCCATGTGCGATGGTGTGTGCGTTTGGTGGTGATTGCGCGCGCGCGTGTGTGTGATGGTGGTACGGGAGATGGTCTTGGGTGTGTGTTATGGTGCGTGTGTGTAATCGTGTGTGTGCGTGTAAACGTGTGTGCGTGCGTGTAATGGTGTGTGAGTGTAATCGCGTGCTGCCGTTCCGCAGCTGGAGGCGGCGGAGCAGGAGGCCGCCCTGACGCGGCGGGAGTTCCGCGAGGAGCTGGAGCGCCTCGAGGAGCTGCAGGAGCGAGCGGTGGCTGAGACGGCGCTCGCCTCGCAGGCGGAGCTGTGCAGGGCGCACACCTACGTGCTGGGTGAGCTCGCCCGGCCCTCGCTCGCTCGCTCCTCGCAGCAACGCCGGGTCTCTGCCGGTGCCCGGTGCGCCCGCTGACGGCCGTGCCGCTCCGGCGAGGATGTTCCACCCGTAGGGAGATTGGGGATTCGGACGGTGACGTGAACGCAAACGGAATATACGGGATTTTCGAAATTGAACCGTCGTCCGTGGACGGTGTGCGTAACTGAACGGGATAAATGTGCACGGAGCGCAACTGCCGCCCCGAGCAGGACGGACGGAACGATCGTTAACGACCTGCTAACCGGCACGGCTGCAAGCTCCTCTTGGGGTATGGGCTTTACCTGGGACGCTGAGGAGTTTGATTCCTCTGTAGTTGGAGCACATCCTTTGGTTCCCTTTTAAAAGAACGGGAACCACGACTTCAGTTTGCCAATCCAGAGGTACTGTATCCACCTTCCATGCAACGTTATAATTATTATATATTTTTAATCGATCTTAGTTTTGCCCGAGTCAACACGCTGCGAGGGAGTAGGGGGTGGGGGAGTGCTCGCGCCGTTCCTCGCACAGGCCGATCGCGCCACCTGGTGGCAGGATGGGATCTGAGCAGCCCAATGCAAGAGGAGACCGCACGGATGCCTCACAGCGGATTATAAGACACCCCCCCCCACCCCAACCGTCATCAACTTCATAATCCAGGAACGAAAGTGCGTTGTCGTATTCCGGAGAATGCCGCCGTGACCTTTGGCTCCTCTCCGTCCGGTGCCGCCGCCACGGTGTAGATGTGCAGGACCGGCTGACGGCGCTCGGCCCGGCGCTGCTGTCCCTGGCGAGCGACTACCGTAGCTTGAAGGAGGAGACCAAGAGCTTCCCCCAGCTTCTGGAGGCCAGCGTGGCCAACGTGGAGACCCAAGTGAGTGACCCGCGGTGTCGCGAGCGCGCGGGATAAAACGTGCCGCGATCGTTCCCTTTCGGCGTCGCGATTTACGCCGGTGGCCGGCAGCAGTCTGTGGTCCGGCCGCGAGACATTTCTGGCATGCTGGTCAATCTGTCGGACACAATCTGTCATGTGGAGTGCTTTTGCCGTCGTGGGTTGTGAGAGCCCCCACTGCAGGAGATTTATCTCCACTGGAATAAACTTAAGACTCAGCACAGCATCGTCATTGGATGCTTTTACAACAGTTATTATCCGCTCCAATTTCATTTGTACTGCGCTGTTGATTCGCAGAGGCATTACACCCGTAAAATGTATATTTAATATTAATTCACGGCTTGCTGTCTTCTAGGCAGCAGCAATAATAATATGATTTGTTTCATTATAAATTACATAGGGGATTTCTGTGCCGCCCGTGTGCTCGCCGCGGCAGCTGGCGCGGGCCGTGGAGGAGATGTCGAAGCGGTGCGACGAGATGGAGCGGCGGTACCAGCGGGAGATGGCGCTGAGAAAGAAATACCACAACCAGCTGGTGGAGCTGCGGGGTACGACGGACGCGCTTAATCGGCTTGAGCCACGCTAAGGCTGCGAGACGCGCGCTATCCGCCCGCTCGGTGCGGCGAAGGGCACTGAAGCTCATCCGGTCAATCAATCGGAGCCTCTTAATCCAGTTGTGAGGGAACCTTCCTCTTGCCGAGAGCAGATTAGGACTTGAAATAGCTTAGGGCGGGCGATCACACGCCCCGTGACTTCTGTCGCCGTCAGTGACAGATGCCGGTCAATCGGTATGCAGGGATGGGTAAATATCGGCCGTTGTTTAATCAGGAGATGAAAATAACACCCGGTGAGAATCGTGAAAAGTCGTTGCCTCTTTTGCAAGGGTGATGATCTGGGTTACGTCAAGGCAGATTAAGCGCACGGATAGAAAACAAAAGTTACCTTAGGTACACAAAGAAATCATGTGCTGCTGCCAGGCTGGAAATGTTTCCCTCTTGTTCCCGACTGGTGTGGCTAAGGAGCTTGCAGTGATGGGTAATTATTGTGTGCGAGCCATTTTTAAGTGGCCTCATGTGTGCCAAGGGCCTGGCCTAAAGTAGGCCAAGGATGAGGGCGGCTTGGCACAAGTGGGACGGAACTGAGCGGAAAGCGGTCACAATGCGTTTGAGAATGATTTGGTGGTTGTGCCGAGGTCGCTCCCTGAGAGTGCTCCACGAATCGATTCTCGGGCGTGTAAATGGTAGAGCTGTAAGAAAATGTCTTGGGATAATGATACACTACGAGCGCGTTCAAGGCAAAATAACCGCATCTTGCATGTTGATTGTTACTTCATAATATTTTATGGTTTTCGCATTTACACGATGTTTCGCGCTGTGGCAGTGCCAATGAGTCCTGCACGTGGATTACGTAGCTCGTTTGGTGTAATGGTGTGGGGTGCACTTGGTTGACGGTTCTGGGAAAAAGGAATATTATAAATAAACGTACGGACGAACAATCATAACACTTGTGTGCCGACTGAGGTGTGAGAATGTGTCCCCGCTTAGTTGGTTGAATATCTTTGAAAGCCACGAGGTGCAGAGCGTCCACGCTATTTGACCACAGGGTCACGGCACAGGTTTTGCGCGTCTGTGCCGTGCAGCTCCGCGATCGTTTCCGCGTCGCGTGCCGCAAGTTGTACGGCACGGCGTCCGACGCGCCTCGCCGCTCCACGTGCCGAGCACTCCTTCAGCTCCTGCCCGTGCTCGCGGCTCGCGGAGCGAAACGTCGGGCGTCGTGCAGAACGGCAGAGCCGTCGAGCCGCGCGCTTGAATGTGAACCTGCCCGGTAGGCGGCGGTGAACCCCTCTGAACGCACGCACGCACACACGCACGCGCGTTAGGCAACATCCGCGTGCTGTGCCGCGTGCGTCCGGCGATCGAGGAGGACGGGGAGGGCACGCCGGCGCACAGCGTGGTGCAGGTGGACCCCGAGGACGACGGCGCGGTGCACGTGGTGCAGCGAGGGCGCCAGCACTCCTTCCAGCTTGACCGCGTCTTCCCCCCGCACGCCTCCCAGGAGGAGGTTAGCGCGCACACACACACACACGCACGTACTCACGCATGCACGTACTCACGCACTCGCCCCCGACACTCGGCCGCGCTTGTGCCTGGCGCCGCCTGCACTGTACCAGTTTGGTTCGTGAACTGCGACCGCAGACTCGACTCGGGGTCCCACAGGAGCCTCGGTCGGAGGCCTTCATCCTCCAGTGGATCGATCATGACATGATAACGATGATGAATTGTGCTGAATTTATTTATTCGAGGTTATTTTACAGGAGTGCCTTGCTATGCTATTCCTTACTGACGAACGGACGTGCCGTGTGAATTTCAAACGAGGTGGAAGCTGCTGGTCTTGTGCGCACGCACGCACGCACGCCTGCTCGCGCCGCCGCACGTTTTCCGCCTCGAGACACCTCGACGGGCATGTGTCTACCCCGCCAGGTGTTCAGGGAGGTACAGGACCTGGTGATGTCCTGCGTGGATGGCTACAACATCTGCATCTTTGCTTACGGCCAGACGGGCTCGGGCAAGACGTACACCATGGAGGTAATCTCCCTCGCTGGTGAACACGGCGCGTCCCGCGTCTGGCTCCACGCGTAGGGCCACTCCTGGATGAGGGCCTCTCCGCGCCGTGTGGGTCGAGCGATGGGGTTATTCGACCACGCCGGACTAGTGCGTGTTGAAGGTCGGCAGCGGAGACCAAGGAGCATAGAAGTACACTATCACCATCGTCAGCATCCTCTGCGCGCGCAGGGCACGGCCAAGGCGCCTGGGATCAACCAGCGAGCGCTGCAGCACCTCTTCCAGGAGATGGAAGAGCGGCAGGATGAGTGGCGGTACACGCTGTCGCTCAGCATGCTGGAGATTTACAACGAGACTCTGCGGTGAGGGCTTCTTGCGAGCAGTGCGAGCGATGGCAGCGGGCAGGGGCCCGTCGGTCGATGTTGTCCCACGGGACGGGCAGAACTTGGCAGCCTCAGCAGCTGTGCACCGATGCTACATTCACACGATTAGTGAAAAGGCGAGCTAACAAAACACGTGGCTGAAAATGACTAAATAGTAGATGTCAGCTCGCGAAAAGCATTGCGCAACTCTTGGACTCTTCTTTACTTTTGAAAGATCGTTTGAATGTGATCTCTTACCTCTGGCCTTAGGGGGGCAGGGTGGGTGGGGTGAGGGAGGTGGAGCAAAAGGTTGAGTTCCACAGAGAAAAAGATCTCTCTTTAGAATGTCCATGGAAATGCAGCATGAGCCCTGACCACGCTGTAAGGTGTCACGTAACGACGCTCCCTTCCCCCCCGCCCTGCGCGTACGTGCGCGTGCGTTCTTCATCGGTGCTTGCAAAACAGCACTTGCCCCAACAGTCTGCCAAAGGCTTTAACGGCGGGGGGTTGTGGGATCTTTGTCTTCGTGTGGCAGGGATCTGCTCGGGAGCGAGGGGCACGGCCGCTTGGACATCCGACTTTGCCCCGACGGCAGCGGCGAGCTGTGTGTGCCCGGCCTGCGGCAGGAGCCCGTGTCCTCGCTCGGCGACGTCCACAGGGTGAATCTCGTCTCTGGGCGCGCCGCGGTGGCTAGGAGATGTTAACTACCTAGCCTGGTATACAGGAGGTCGTGGGTTTGATCGCGACCACTCTCGTCTCTGGGCGCGCCGCGGTGGCTAGGAGATGTTAACTACCTCGCCTGGTATACAGGGGGTCGTGGGTTTGATCGCGACTCCTGACGCCTGCTGTGTATATTTGGAGTTTGCGTGTCTCTCTCATCATCATCATCACGGTGGCTAGGAGATGTTAACTACCTCGCCTGGTATACAGGAGGTCGTGGGTTTGATCCCGACCCCTGACGCCTGCTGCTGTGTATATTTGGAGTTTGCGTGTCTCTCTCACCATCATCATCACGGTGGCTAGGAGATGTTAACTACCTCGCCTGGTATACAGGAGGTCGTGGGTTTGATCGCGACCCCTGACGCCTGCTGCTGTGTATATTTGGGGTTTGCGTGTCTCTCTCACCATCATCATCACGGTGGCTAGGAGATGTTAACTTCCTCGCCTGGTATACAGGAGGTCGTGGGTTTGATTGCGACCCCTGACGCCTGCTGCTGTGTGTATTTGGGGTTTGCGTGTCTCTCTCTCTCCCCGTGGTCGCGTGGATTCTTCTCTGGGTCTTCCGGTTTTTCCTACCACAATTAGAAACACAACATGCAATTTGAGCATTTGGCTGCTTTAAATTTCCACACTATGAGCCACTTCATTGAGCTAACATTTGTGGCCAGGTCGCTTCATCGGGCCTTACCTGGTGAAATAAAAAAGAGCGTATAGTTTGTACCCTTAGCCACGCCCACCGTTATCCATTTGCCGCAACGCACGGGTGATGATTGGGCTTGCGATTTCCCCCCGTGCTCCATTTGTTACGCACCTGCTGGCAATGTCTGTTGCATTGCGACCCCCGCAGATGGCAGTGAAGCAGTGGTTGCCGAGACGTTAGTGTTCTACGCTGAATGTTGTTTTCACTCTCCAAGTCAAATGTAATGATAATAACAGCTCACGCCATCTGAAAAAAAACCAGGATTTTTTTTGTAAAGGGGGAAGTGTTCACGTGTTTTTGGTGAAATTCTGATCCTCATGCTACCTTTAGTTCTGAATTATAAGTGGAATGTTGAACACCTGTAAATCAACTGGAGCGTGACGTGTCCCCCGTGAAAGTGGTGGGTTGCTCTGTAGCTGCTCGCCTCCTACTTTAATGCTCGCAGTGAAAGCGAAAACACATTCCACTTCTCAGACGTATGTCACCGCGGCGTTGACGTCTCCCAACAGCTGGTGTCCCTCGGCCACAGCAACCGCGCCACGCACTGCACCAACATGAACGAGCACAGCTCGCGCTCCCACGCGCTCATCCTGGTCACCGTCAGCGCCACCAACTCCATCACGGGCACCAGCACACGAGGTGCGCGCAGGGCCGGCCGGGCGGGCGGGCACCGTGCGGGCAGCTGTGGCCATGCCGATGCGTGGCCAAGCTGTGTTTCTGCGGGGTCGCGGCGGGGGTTGGGGCAGGGATGGGGGTCTGTGGAGGAGAGGTAACACATTTCCCGGGAGGCTCAACCAGGACACATGTTGGGCTTGGCAAGCCTCCCCTGCCCTCCGTAGACCCCCTCCCACTTTTACATGGCGACGCCCACTCGACCACTGGCTTCGTGGCCACGGTGAGCGGCGTTGCGCTGACATTAATCCCCCCGCTGCTGCTCGAAGGCCTTGCCTGCCGAAAACTGCCACAAGTTTTCGACTGGAAACCTGATGAGTTTTGGCACACTTGCAGTAAGTCTGCTAAATGTACTTGGTTTGACTGGGGCAGTGCCGGTTCAAAGAAAGGCCATCCCGGTGATCCGAAGCATTTGCAAAAATCAGGATTTTATCCCCGGTTTAACCTTTTCTGCGACTCGGGCCACCTGAGCCATGGGCAAGGCCTGTGAGCAGTGGGCGGGGCTTCCTGAACAGTGGGTGGGGCACCTGAACAGTGGGCGGGTTTATATGAAGTGGGCGGATTTATATGAACAGTGGACGGGGATTCCTGAACATTGGGTGGGGCTGTAATCTTGACTTAAAGCTTTCGTGACTGCAGGAATTAATATTCTTTGGGTCTTTGGGTAAAGCCACGTAGATAGAAAAACAAAACATTTTAATTGTATAATTTTTGTATTTTTAAAACAATTTTTTTATTTTGTTTTCTACTTACGTGACTTTACCGAAAGACTCAAAGAATATTGGGCGGGGCTTCCTGAGTAGTGGGCGGGGTTACCTTAACAGTGGGTGGGGCTATTTGAACAGTGGGTGGGTCAACTGAGCAGTGGGTGGGGTACCTGGGCAGTCGGCGGGGTCACCTGAACAGTGGGTTGGGGCACCTGAACAGTGGGCTGGGGCACATGAAGCAGCGGGTGGGGCCAACATGCTCACTGTGCGGGATTAGAGGTTGAGTCGGCGTGGCTTTGTAAAAGTGGCCGGGACTGAGACAGAGAGGGCCTGTTCAACTCACCGCATGTCCCTGTTCGAGCCTGCCAGAAATGTGGTAGGTTCATCGATAAACGTTGAAGTAAGTAAAGACACATTGTGCATGTACAGCGCACATGACCCTCGGCACTCGGTCGCAGGGAGGCTGAACCTGGTGGACCTGGCGGGCTCGGAGCGGCTCGCCAAGTCGCGGGCCGAGGGCGACCGTCTCCGCGAGGCCCAGAACATCAACCGCTCGCTGGCGGCGCTCGGGGACGTGATCCAAGCGCTGCGGGCCAAGCAGGCGCACGTCCCCTTCCGGAACTCGAAGCTCACGTACCTCCTGCAAGACTCGCTGGCCCGGGAGAGCAAGACGCTCATGGTCATCCAGGTGAGAGTTCGCGAGCCGTGCGGGGAAGGAGGAGCGCTTGCCCACGGCCGGGTCGGAGGGACGGTGGGGATTTATTACAGGTCACGAAAGGTTTCTTGTTTTTCCGCTGCTGCCCCCCATTGAATGGAACTCCCTTCCCCCCTACAGCTATCCGCGCTGTCTTCATCATCATCATTTATTATTTAAGCCGTGGCTCCCATACAGTAGGTCTCAATGCGCCAGAAACAAGGGTTATTTGAGATGATCGCTCATGACGAAAGTGATTGCAGACCAAAGAAAGTGTTTACAAGCAATAGTTTATCGGCAGTTGTCGCCTCCCCTGCCTCTCTTCAAGTCCAAGGCCTCAACACCTTCCTCTCTCCCTCTGCCTATCAGTGACTGCCTCTCTCTACAATAAACACGCCCGCTGTTTCTGCAGCGTGTTCAGACGCTGGTGCATTTGGAAGCAATGTCAATCCGCGTCGTAATCGTGCAATTTCACCCGCGTTTCTCGCATCGCGCCTCTGCGCAGTGGTTGGTTGGCTTCTAAATGGCCCACTGTTTTGTTCTCTACGATCTGATCGATTGCATGTACATACGCGGTGAGTCGCATTTAAGCACTTGATGAAATCCCAATTGCGTAGTATCCTACGACTGTGCAGGTTTTGGCGGCCGTGCTGCTGTACGGAGCCTCTCTCTCCGGTGCGCGTGCTCTTTGGCCGCGCTGCGTGTCGCCCGGCACGTGGAGTGCAATGTCGGGCACCATGCCGAACAGCACGCGGTCCAGCTGTGATGAAACGCGCGTCGTCTGCACTGCGATTGACCAGGTGGCCCCGGCGGCGCGTCACGCGGCCGAGACGATCTGCTCGCTGCACTTTGCGCAGCGCGCGCGCGCCGTGGAGCTGGGGCCCGCCGCCCGCCGGGTCGAGCCGCCGGACGCCACGATGCCAGCGGAGGTCGGTGATCGGCCGTGGAGACCGTGAAATTTAATTTTGCACCTCCCATCAATATTTGTTCCCACCAGCGAAATGTTTGTCCCCCCTAGTTTTAACCGGGTGGGAACTCTCACGAGATCGATGTCTAAGGGACCCGTTTTTTTGGCAGTGTCCAAATGATGAAAACGAAGAATGGATTTCACCCTTTCTGGCAATAACACGGGAGGTGTAAAGATGTTCGGACATCGAATAGACACCGATTGCAAGGCGGCATCGAGGCTGCATGAACCTCATTTGCAACGGTGGCACGTGAGCCACCCAAATGACAAAAGAAAACAAACAAAGTCGAGCAATGAAGCAAACAGCAGAGTGAAAGCGAACAGAAGTCATGAACAAAAACATCCCGTGACGCACGAGGGATAGAAGACACTGCGTGCGTACGAACACGAATCGACGTGAAACAATAAACTCTGTGCAGTGCAAGTCGGGATTATATGCGGATGCTGCCGTGGTGACGTAATGCTTATCAGACTACACTTGCAGTCCAGAGTTCGCCGGTTCAATCGCTCGCCAACAATGGTGCAGGTTTCTTAAAACCCCGCCCACGTTTGTGCGCCCAGCAGTATTCATGGGTACAGCACAGTTGACCGGCAGGCCACGTGTGGTGGGGTGAAGTGTGGCTTCACCAGGCTCTTGCAACACGTCTGGCCAGCGTGGAAGAGTAGGCCAAACAATTTCATTTCTAGACAGGGTCTACAGGGCCCCTTCTAGCGGGAGGCCCTTCCGCGAGAAGTGCCGTGAACAAACAATTGCAAGGGCTGCACCGTTACTTCTAGCAGGAAAAGTGTAATTTTTTTAATTGTAAATTTATTCACCTGTGGCTCATGTAGACTTTTGATGCCTTGCAAAAGGTTTCTATTTGGTGTTTGAACATCTTAACACCTTTTATTGCCAGAAAAGGGTAAAACCGATTATTATTTTTCATCATTTTGTAGACTGGCAAAAAGGTAGATATAACTGTTCGCCCCGAGCTATAAGTGTTCTGGAACTTGCATTGCCTCTCTGCCGTGCGCCTTGTGGCGTTCTCTGGTCTAAGACTGGTGAGACTAGGCCATCAACAAGGCTGTCTCTGCTGTAGGCCAATCAGTTTCAAAGACAACGCGAGTATATTATTAGTGCATGTTTACTTGCGTTTTTTGCCACAAATATGGTTAATGCAGTACTTGATGCCTTGCAAAAGGTTTATATTTGGTGTTTGAACGTCTTAACACCTCCAGTTTTATTGCCAGAAAAGGGTGAAATGTGTTTTTATTTTTCATCAATTTATTCACCCGTTTTCTTTCTTTAGGTGAAGGGAAGACTTTCTAGAATATGAAGAGTGGAAGCTGCCGGAGGCTGGCTTCTCTTGGTAAGTGTGCACTGGTGAGGACATCACGGTCGTCGGGGATGATGAACACTTTACACCGAACGGAACTCGCGTTAAGATGTGCAAAGTATGTTTTTACAAGACAGGATTAGATAATAGTACAAATGATTTTAAATAATTGTACAAATGATTTAATCGTATAGAGCGTCATTCTTGCAGTTGCATCCTACAACGCTGCACATCAATTATCCAGTTCCGCACACAGATAATGGTAAAAACAAACCCCCACTACTAAATTTATATTTAAAGCTTTCATGACTGCAGGGATTCATATTCTTGGTGCTTTCGGTAAAGTCACGTAGAAGGAAAAAGGAAACATAAAATAAAATAATAACAATAAAATTGCGGTGGTTTTCACACCTGATGATGATTGCTTGTGTTGCAATCGAAAGGTCGTGAGAATTTTATAGTATTTGTTTTTTATTATTTTCCTTCTACGTGACTTTACCGAAAGAACCAAGAATAAAAACCCCCACTACTTAGCAAATAAAAAACGAGTACATAAATGACGAGAATACACATTACAAGAAAAAAATCATCACAGAGAAAATAAATTAACATAAATATACATCATCGTGGTGGCAGTTGGGCGGTTCAGGTGGACACCGACGTGGCACTGCTGCGATCGTAGGTTTGAATCGGGGCAAACAGCCGTGATGAAAACCGGGTTTGTTGAGTGCAGAGAATTGATGAAATCGGCTCGGTCACCAATGACTGCACACACTCTTTATGTTTTACGTGGAGTTTTTTACTTTCTACTTGAATTTGACATTTTTCCAGATGAGGACTGAAAATGTTGCTTCGACTGTCACGTCACTGAACATCTCTTGTGGCAACACACTTGAGAAAGTGTGACGACAAATGCAACTAACGGGGAGTGGTCATGCAGTGGTTCGCTCGCTGTGCTACGAACCCGGCGACCCGAGTTCTATTCCCTCTCACGACCGATAACATGTAGCGAATATCTGAATTGTTCCTGGCCGTCCACGAGGTCGACTCAGCCTTAAATGAATACCTGGCGCGGTGTGTAAACATCAGCATTGGCGAGAACACGGTGGATGGGTGTGGTGGATGTTGGCCACCCACCCGCTCATGTGCCGTGCTGGCCTTCATAGGTGCTCGCCTAACAGCATTTCTCCCCAACGAGTCGACACGGTGGGGGGGAGGGGTCCTTGTCGTTGACTATGTGAATGAGGCAATTAAAGGGACCTCAAAAGTAGTGATATCACATTTCCGGGTGCTGTTCTCTCACATGGGGTGGAGTTACGCCGCTCTCTGGGAGAGTGCCGAATGGGAATCTCTCCGTCTCGTGTAACGCCTCGGCACCGTTTCATGAAATTAGGGGTAAGACATTCAGGGGAGCGGTCCGTGCACTGTGCTGTGACCCTGGCAACCGTGAGTCTAATTCTCAGTCACGGCTAACATCAGTGGCGAGCGATATCTGAACTGGACTTGGGCCCCTCGCTTCAAGAGTCTGCACTGACCGGCAGGGTAAAGTATGGTCAAACAACCCCCACATGAGATGTGGCATAAAGAGGCCTTCATTCAGCAGTCGATTTGACAAAATAACTGACCGTCATAGTATTGACATTTTTTAAAAATAGAAACATGGAAAAAAACAATTGCATTCTCAAAACATAATCATCGGCCAGGATCAATCCGCTGATGGATGAAGGCCTCCGCAGGCCACTGCGTCTCTTCCACCATGCTGCAATAGAACAAAATAAGCGTACTGTTGGTATTTAGATTGATTAGGAATGTAACGATGATAGGAACAGAGCCTCATATTCTCGGAGTAATGAGACGCACTGTCCTATGTCAATATTTTCTTTCAATCAGGAGAAATTTTCCATGGCGAGCACATCTGTCTCTGGGAGGTTGGACAAGAGGATCATTTTCCAACTCATCTGGCAAGATTGGCAGACAGCAGCGCCAAGAGGAATGGACTCTGACGAACTGGTTTTCAGCGTTGTCTTGGTATCTCTGCTGGTATTACAAGATGCCCTGACACAGCTTTTTAACCGGTGCTCAGCATAAGCAAACTAAGCAAAAGTGTAGGCCTCCATGAAGCACAAGGAGCCACGGATTAATGAAAAATCGGGGTGCATCAAGTATGAGCTTGAATTGAAATCCTAATAAACATAACAGACCAATTAACACAACAAACCTAGTAATTTATCTCGCGTCTATCTTATCTGCATCTCTCTCCCGCAATCTCACCACCCCTGATATTTTTATCTACATCTCTTATCTCTAGTCTCTTATCCATTCTGTCATCTCACTATGATTTTGTATATATTTTGAAGGGGGAACGGGGGCCTCACAAATTAAATTTATGCCCGGGGCCCCCAGTGGTCCTGCATTACCACTGCTCTCAACGTCTCAGAGCGGTGCGGCAGCCACACAGACCGGGTGTGACATACGGAACATGGAGCATCTGTTGGTCTGTCGGCTCCCCGGATGAGCCATGCGCTGTGAAGGAGCTTGCCTGGGCTACAGACCCACGCCACATTATCATCACGAGCCATGGTCTATCAACTGCTGGTAATAGAATGCACCCGATACCGGAGAAAACTACAAGACGACAACCCCCACACGCAAGTGCCTATTGCTCACAGGCGTCTGGCCGTGACCCCATGTCCAGCGGACTCTTGACAAGCAATCGGCGCGGGACACAGGCGATTTCTCTCGCGCTACGTTCGAGGGCTACGCTCCGTGCGTGCCTGCCTGCCTGCGCGGCCAACCTCTGAGAGTGCAACTGCTGCTGCCGCCGCTGCTGCTGCCTATTGCGACACCGGAGAGGTGTGGAAGCTGACTTGCCTCACCGGGCAACCCAGCTGGGAACTGAGAAACGAGGTAACCGAACGGACCAAGCTGACGGGTGTGTCCAGAAACACAAGGTTGTTTTTTGTTTGTTTTTATAAAGTGTGCGTACGTGCCTATGATCGAATCACCCGCAATGCACCCAATGCCCGTCAGAATTTGGACGAAAAGCAGGGTTGGGCCTAGATAGTGCTTGGATGGGTGACTGTGCCATACCTTACAGGTTTCATAGGTTGCTTCAGAGATGGGATCTGGGTCATGGAGGGGCAGTGCAATACAATTGTTGTACTGCGCTTCTATGCTTCCACGTATATGCTGCCCACCCCGACCAAGCGCGTACTTTCCCGCGTGGTGAAGTATGCTAACAAAAATCGAGCGTTGCTCTGGGTGAGGCCCTCAATTCAGCGGTGGATTGTGGCAAGAGGACCCTACGTGTGCAGTGCTGCGCTTACAGGGCGGACGAGTTTACAAATGCAGTGACCGAACGCACATTCCGCGCGAACAAATATTTATTTGAAAATAAAATTTGCTCTGTTTTTTTTTTGGGTGGGGGGGGGGGGGAATAACGAAACTGCAAAGAGTTTGAAAAATAAACTTTGACCAGCCAAAAGTGTTGTGTTGGCAATGCAGCTTTGAGACATGGAGCGCCTTTTTATCTTCTCATTAAGATTGTGCACGTGAGCAAACGCCTGCGTACGCAAATCTCGTTTGTGCGTCAGGCACATTGAATGCGGTCGTTTGATTTTAAATTAAATTTGTATAAGCGCTTTATATGATATAACTGAGGATTTCTACCGTTTTTAATGTGCACATTTTCTACGTTGCCGTTGTTGATGGCCACGGCATCGTGAAAGTACGAGGATGCCGTACGTGTATAGCCATACGACAGTGCTGCATCTTTGATATGTACCGTATATACTATGTATACTCTGTATTCGTATGCGTGACTATTAAAATGACCACATTTTTTCCAACTTGAAGTCTGATTTTTCACCGAGGTAGTGATCGGATTGCCTGCACCTCTCAAAACATTTGCACGAAAATATTTTGCGTGGACTCGGTCGTGGTGATGAGACGGGTAGCTGCTGCTGTTGATGGCGCTGGTGGATTTGAAAGTGGCGCTGCTGATAATGGTGTGGTGGTTCTTTTCGTTGGTGACTAATGTTCTTTTAGTTGCCGAGTTTTACTGGTAGGAACCTCCTGGTCACACCAGCCCACAGGGGATTATTGTGTCCGTCCATCATGCATCCAAGGATGGGGGGTGGGGCTGGGTGGGGTTGGGTCTGGTTGGGGGGGGAGGGGGGGCTGGGTGGGGCTGGGTGGGGAGGGGCTTTTTGTTGGGGAAGGGAGGGTGGGGAGGGGCTGGGTGGGGAGGGTGGGACTGGGTGGGGCTGGGTGGAGAGGGGCTGGTCACCCCGTGGTGCCCTTATAAAACTCAACGTTTAACCTACTCACGCCGACTTGTGCCCGCCCTCACAGTCGGGCATATTTGTGGAATATACCACGCCGCCGTTGACGCTGGCCATTGACCAAGCAACCCAACGTTCCTACCAGCTCCCTCCGCAGGAATGTGTAATGCAGTCTGCATTGTTCGCTAAACAAATGTACAGAGTCGGTGCGGAGACGGAACTGAGATGCACTCGCTCTATGTCGCCGTGTGGATAGGGCACGAGCGTTCAGTAGCGGGCTCTGCCTCGTTTGGTGGAAATTATAGGCAGACTTCGAGAAACACAAAACGATGTGGTTCGCCGGTTATGGAGACTGTAGATGTGTGTTTATCACGGGAGCTTGAGCACATTAGGATTTTAGGCTGACCCGGCACGATTGGCTATGTGCGGTGCGAAAGAAGTTCAGCATACATACATACATACACGCGCCAGGACCAGATTAAGGCTCTTGTAGGCACTAGGCACTTCTGTTTCGTCGGCCTTCCGTGATAACTTTATACAGTTGGTACTGCTGCCTATGTTACCACTACCACCGCTGTCACTCGCTAAAGCTGATAAAAAAACATTTCTCCGACCAAGCATGGGGGCTACTCTCGATTGAGAATGATAGTGTGACAAAGGCCATTTGAAGATGTTATTTGCTCATTTTGCAATGAAAAAAAAATCTTAAGTTCACCTGCGGTGTTAATGTCTCTCACCTTATGATAAACAACATTGACATGACTGCCTCTTTGTATGTACACTGTGCCAATCCTTGCTAAATATACATATTTATGCAAGAAGATTTCTTGGTTAAATCTTTTATAATACAAACAAAAAAATATGGTCAACATTTTTTGTTGTTGGCCTTTTAGTTTTCGTAGTCCCCTCGGCACAGTGCTGATTGTGGCCCATTTGACGAGACGGCCCTGCACCGGGCTCCATGTTTTGGGAACCAACTTTGACAATTTTAATTTGTTGGGATTTTTTAAAATCGTCATCAACTTAGATGGTCACCACGTTGGTGGAAACGTTTAGCTTGCTAACCCTTTTTAAATCACTGATATTTCTGTCACTCGCGGTCGCCTGTACTATCTGTGTAAAGGAGTTCCTTGGAGGTATATATTTCAACAAGGGTAAGTCTTTATTTGCAATTAGAGAGTCGGTACAGCTCCGCTGAACCCAGCCCAGCTGCACTCCGTCTTGGTCGTCTTCTTCCAGTCTTGCCTCAGCCTTGCGCCCTGAACTGAGTTCGGGCTCCACCTTATATACCCTCTTTAGGTACGCGTTTCACAAGGGGATATAGTCCCCACGAGTATGAGATTACTTTACATAGTTGTTGCTCAACGCTGTACACGGGCTCCAACTCAAAGGGGAGAATGGCGTCAGGACCAACAATGGCCCCTGCATTTTCCAGACATGGTTAACACAGGTTATCCCTGCGTCTAGTACCTCCTAGTACGCCGATTAAAGGGGAGCATCCATTTACATCACAACACACGAACACCGGTACATCCGCCGCAACTGCCGCTCCAGATCTCAAAGTCCATCAACCGGCACGCTCGCTCCAGCCCTGCTCCTCTCTGGCATCACTTGGATGACTCCCTCTGTGCCCCCCACCTCCTCCTCCTCTTCGTCAAGGTCTCTCGAGTGGCAATCTGAGGGAAGCCAGCCACGTGACGGACTTAGCTGGGAGAGCCACAAGTTGGTGGTCTTCGATTGTTGGCTCTGGGGTCTCTCCAAGGGAGAGAGGCCAGTCGACGCGTGCGGTGATTTCCGATTAGCCCCTGAGACTCCTGGGATGTGTAAGTCCCAGTCTGTCCGTCCGTCCGCTACGACGTGGCACAGCATCGCAGACAGCGTGCGGTTGAGCTGTCCCACCTGCCCATCGCGCTGGGGGTGGAATGGCGATGTTCGAATTTTTCTTTTTGCCTAGAATTTTGTTCGACGTAAAAAGTTTGGTTCGTCCGTAAACAGCGACAAATAACATCTACACTTTTGAGGGATGGTAAGTTTGTATTAAGTGCATCTACCCGCTCTTGCTTCCGCTTAGAAAAAAAAGTTAACATCGGGTACAAACCGTGCCTAAGTGCGGTAGGAAGCACAGAGAGAGAGATACGGGTGTTGACAAAGTTGCGGGTGGATCGCTGCATTGGTGGGTCGCGGGAGATGGTGACGGTGTGGAGCCTTCCATCCAGCAGCGGAATCGACGCTGGCTGCTTCTGAGCATGGTGCGACGCGAGTCGTAACGAATATAACAGTGTGGTACTTTAGCGATGAAGCTGAATTAAATAAAGTGTAATACCGACAATGAATGACATCCACACACCGTGTAACATTCACACACACACAGGCTCGCTCGCATTTCTCTCTGCGCGCTCAATGAAAACACGCGCACGGCAAAATCCCAAATGCGTGCAAGGGAGGGGGAGAAGAGTGCCTCCCGCAAGACCGCAACCGTTACATTGCTCGCCGCACCAACACCAGCGAAACGAGAGAATAAATATCCCTCGCTCCTCCACACGTGGCCACTGCTGCTACACCGCCGAGTGGCCGGGGATTTAAAGGGCGCTGCCGAGCAAGCAACGCGTGCGTGTGCTCGCTCACTCGCTCGCTGCTGCTGCTGCTTGCGGTGCACGCTCTGTTTAAAGGGACTCCAAGATCGCCATTTCGCGATTCGTGCACGAGCGCGGGGTGGCGAATCGATTCTGCTGCGCTGTGCGAGTCTCGATTGCACGACCGTTGCTAAAAACAAAAACTCAAAGACATCGTTTATCCCAAATCTCTCGATCCCCACCCCCCCGCTGCTCATTCAGCGTCGGAGAACTGGGTTCGACACGGAGATGGGGATTCTGAAGCTCACCGACCTGATCTCTGACGAGGCGGGCGCTGCCGTGCACTATAAGGTGCTCGAGGACTACCGAGGTAGGAGCGCACAGCTGGGAGGCATTTAAACCCCGCATGCACCCCACGCATACACACACTCGCGCGCGCACACGCACACGCGCACATACACTCGCACATACACACAAGCGCTCTAAGTAACATCAGCATCTGCAGCGGTGGTTAGCAGCAGAGCCGTGCAACATCATCGCCTTCATCAACATTATTGTTGAGCGTCGCCGTTGTTGTCATAAAAATAACCACCACCACCACCATCATCATCGGCACCATCAACGTCGCCCTGGTCTTTGTTATCACCGTTGTTATTGACGTCATCATCATTATGAGCGTCACCGTCGTCCTCGTTACCACCACCGTCGTCAATATCAACACTGGTCGTCATCGTCGTCATCATCATCACAGTTATCATCGTCATCATCATCATCACCACCGTCATCATCGTCGTCGTCATCATCGTCATCATCACCGTTATCATCGTCGTCGTCATCATCACCACCGTCATCATCACCACCGTCATCATCACGATCGTTGTCATCATCACCACCGTCGTCGTTATCATCACCACCACCGTCATCATCACCACCATCGTCGTCGTCATCATCATCACCACCGTCATCATCACCACCGTCGTCATCATCATCATCACCACCGTCGTCCTCATCATCATCACTGTCGTCATCGTCGTCATCATCATCACCACCGTCGTCATCATCATCACCGTCGTCATCATCATCGTCACCACCGTCATCATCACCGTCGTCATCACCGTCACCACCGTCGTCATCATCATCACCGTCGTCATCATCATCACCACCGTCATCATCATCATCACCACCGTCATCATCATCATCACCACCGTCGTAATCATCATCACCATCATCATCACCACCACCATCATCATCACCGTCGTCATCATCATCATCACCACCGTTGTCATCATCATCATCACCACCGTCGTCATCTGCGTGCATGCACGCGCGGGCGCGCAGGGAGCAATGGCCGTGATCGGCGTCCCGACATGAAATGTTGAAAAAAAACAACAAGGGGGCAGATTTGCATTTTCCCTGCTCGAGATGGCAGCCGGGGGGGGGGTCTGTCTCGGTGTGCGAGCGAGCGACTGTGACGATCAGAGAGACACCATCGGCAATCATCTCTTGTGGTGGTGGTGCCTGCTGTTTCGGGGAGAGGGATGCAAACGAGGCTGTTGCGAATGATGATTGTTGTTGCTGCTGTTGGTGTTGCTGCATGATATTGGAGGCGGGGTGGGAGGGAGGCTGCTCTTATTCGCTGCTGTGTGCGGGCTACATATATGTTACCGTATTAGCGGTCAGCTGTGTGGTGGTGTGTGTGGTCAGCTATTGAGTCGGGCGGTGTTTTTGTGTGTGTGAGCAATGTCGCTGGCTGTATTGCGAGCTGTTTTGTGAGCTATATATGTACTGCTAGTTTCCTGGGTTTTTTTTGCGAGCTACGTGTATGCTATGTGAAAGCTGTGCTGTATGTGTTTTTAGTCACCATCTCCGCTGTGCCGTGTTGTTGAGCGGTGTAACATTTTTTTCTGAGCTGTGCGCTGGCTGTGTGAGTAGCCGAGTGTTTTTTTTTGTGGGCTGTGCAGTTGGCGCTGTGCCATGTAGTGTTTTTTTTTGCCAGAGCTTTGTGCTGCAGTCGGCACTGTTATTTTTGCGAGGTGTGTACGTGTGTGTATGTGTACATGTGTACGTGTGTGTGTACACGTGTGTGTGTACGCGTGTGTGTGTACGTGTGTGTGTATACGTGTGTACGTGTGTGTGTGTACGTATGTGCACGTGTGTGTGTGTGTGTGTACGTGTGTGTACGTATGTGCACGTGTGTGTGTGTACGTGTGTGTATACGTGTGTGTGTACGTGTGTGTGTGTGGGGAGCGGTGGTAGTAGCGGTCAGCACGCTGCGCTACGAACCCGGTGACCCGAGTTCGATTCCCGCTCAAGGCCAACGTCAATGACGATTATCTGAACCGGTCCTGGACATCCCCTAGGTCGACTCGGCCTCAAATGAATACCTGGTACGGTGTGTAAACATCGACACTGGGGAGACAAAGGCGGCCGGGCTTGGTGCTGGCCACCCACCCACCCCCTCGTGTGCCGTGCCGGCCTTCATAGGTGCTCGCTAACAGCACTTGCCCCCACAGCCTGTTGAAGGCTACACGGGGGGGGCTCTTCTTTGTCTTTGTCGTGTTCCTCGCGCGAGTCGACGACTTCTTTGTGCGAGTTACGAGGCAAGAAGTCTGGCGAGCCGCGGCGTGTTTATTTGAGCCGCGCACTGGGAAATGTGCACACGCGCGCGTGTGTGTGTGTGTGTGAGCTATGTGTGTGTGTGTGAGCTGTGTGTGTGAGCTGTGTGGTGTGTGTGTGAGCTGTGTGTGTGTGTGCTGTGAGCTGTGTGTGTGTGCTATGAGCTGTGTGTGTGCTATGAGCTGTGTGTGTGAGTGCTCTGAGCTTGTGTGTGTGTGAGCTGTGTGTGTGCTATGAGCTGTGTGTGTGAGTTGTGTGTGTGTGAGCTATGTGTGTGTGAGCTATGTGTGTGTGTGAGCTGTGTGTGTGAGTTGTGTGTGTGCTGTGTGAGCTGTATGTGTGTGTGTGAGCTGTGTGTGTGCTATGAGCTGTGTGTGTGCTATGAGCTGTGTGTGTGTGTGAGCTATGTGCTAGGTGTGTGTGAGCTGTGTGTGTGTGCTGTGTGTGATTGTGCTGTGTGTGTGTGAGCTATGTGCTAGGTGTGTGTGTGTGTGAGCTGTGGGTGAGCTGTGTGTGAGTGCTATGTGTGTGTGCTGTGTTGTGCACCGTGGTGGAGCAGTAAGCCCGCTGCACTGAACCCAGCCACCCGAGTTCGATTACCGCTCACGGCCAACGCCATTGACGGTTATTTGAACCGTGTCCTGGGCATCCCCTAGGTCGACTCAGCCTCAAATGAGTACATGTGCGTAAACATCGCCACTAGCGAGACAAAGGCGGTCGGGCGTGGTATTGGCCACACACCCCCTCGCGTACACCATTCCGGTCTTTCGTCGGTGCTCGCTAACAGCACGTGCCCCAACAGTCTGTTCAGGCTACACGGGGGCGGGGGGGGGTCTTTGTCTTTGTGGTCGCTGCGGAGTCTGGGATTATTTCTCCTGGAATATTTCTCGGGGCCTCTTAAACCCAGCAGCCCAACCCCCCGCCCGCAAACACTGCTCCGACTGAAAAGGAACCCTCCCTGCTGAGCGCAATGCGTGTGAGCCGGGTGCGTGTTCGTTGTGTGTGTTGCTGTGAGAGCTATATGCGTGTCCGTGCTGTTGTGTGTGCGTGTGTGTGTGCGCGCGTGTGTGTGTGCGCGTGTGTGCGCTACGAACCCGGCCACCCGAGTTAGATTTCCTCGTTCACGGCCAATGCCAGTAACCCCCTCCCCCCTTCGTGTGCCGTTCCGGCCATCACAGGGGCTCGCTAACACGACTTGCCTCCAACAGTCTGTTAAGGCTATACAGGACATCTTTGTTTTTGTGGTGATGGTGGTGATGGGGGTGGTGGAAGCAGCAGCTGCTGCTGCTATTGTGCGAGCCGCACACGGCTCAGAGCCCCCCCACCACCCCCCCACCACCACCTAGCGGCCGGAGCGCGGCTGTGCCCATCCCGCGACGCGTCCTCGATTCACCCCAAGCCGTGATCGAGAGCCTCCCCGCCTCTCCCTCCCCTGCCTCCCTCCTCCCCCCACCAGCCGCACACACAGCTCCCCCCCCGTCTCCAACACTGCGGCTCAGGGGTCACGTTCGTGAACCAGGCAATGACCTCCCCCCCCCGGCCCTCTGCCGGCGGAGGGAGTGAACTATGAATGCCAAATGTCCACGTGACGCAGGTCGGAGAAGTGAAAGCGACGTCTTGCTCCGCAGCCGGAGCATTGAGGAAGGTGCCCTTCTTCTGTTTATATGTCCCTGAGACAGTGGGTGGAGATTCCACGTTCCTATGGTGGGGGTGAGTATATCCATTGAATAACCACCGTTTAACTCCCCCACAAAGTGTTCGGGGGATTGCAAAGGAGGGTACGATTGGCTGTCAACCAACCAACTCCATCAGGATTTGAACTCGCAACCTTGCAACGCTCCTGGCCGGTCTAGGGTGTGAAGCGAGTAAATAAAATCGGGGCAGTGCACGATGGATTATACACAGGGGTGATCCATTGTTAGATACCCCACTCATTTGTAATGGGATCTCTTTATTTTCTTCTCAGCAACCGCGAGAGTACTGTGACAGCGATGCATTCGTGCTTTACGGAGGAGGGAATGATCAGATCGAATGAATCGATGCAATGAGATTGGTGGAGAGACATGCACAGTGTGTGCGCATTTCTCCCTGCTATTGAGTGGGGCATCTATATATGGATCGCCCTGTGTGTGCGCACGATGGATGACTGATGTACATCCTAATGATGCTCTGGTGGGGGGATGATGAAACATGACATTTGTCTTGGCATCAAGTCGTCTATGCGTGTGGCTCGAAACGTTGAAAGATAAAAAAACACCTTTCCATCCATCAATCTCGTATTTAGGGATCGTCCATAAATGACGTCACGCGATCTTGGACGATTTTTTACCCCCCCCCCCCTCGTCACACGGCGTCACAAAAAGTTAGACCCCCCCCTCAAATATGACGTCACAAAGCTCTGCCCCCCGCCAAAAAAAAATAAAACATGCTTCAAATCGCTATAAACTATTGTCATTGTAGTACGTAATGAATGTGGCGCTGCACTCTGATGTTGTAGGAGAAAACATTTATTATAAAGTATATTTAATTAAGTAGAACGTGTTGCCTATATTTATTTAAAGTTGCGCATTTTGATGTGACGTCACATTTCTCAAACCCCCGCCCCCTCGTCACATATCGTCACAAATGTCTGACCCCCCCCCCCAGGTGCGTGACGTCATTTATGGACTGCCCCTAAACACTCATACAATGACAACCCTCATCATCAGTACACCGAATGAATTGCCTCCCGTAGAGTGTGACGCTGAAGCCGACAGAAAGCGGACGAAGCCCTTGCCATTGGCTACTAACAGGCGATACAATGAGGACGTTCCCACAGTTCTGGGGTCTGGTTTGCAAGGTCCATCCACTGCTGGATGAGTGGCTCCACTCGCCGTGCCGGACTACCACACGGCAGATCACAGCCACAGCGAGATGTTAATTATTTATATTTAACTGCATTAGAGTCATATTCTTGATTCTTTCGGTAAGGTCACGTAAGAAGGGAAACATTGAAATAAGAAAACATCTTTTTTATTTTATAAAATATTTTTGTTAATTTTATATATATTTTTCATTTTATAAAATAATAAATACATTTATTTTATGAAAATAATAAAAAATATTTTTATTATTTATAATAAAAAAAATATTTTTATTATTTTGTTTCGCTTCTACGTGACTTTACCGAAGGAACCAAGAATATGCATTAGAGTTGTTTTTTTTACGCTTAATGATGCAAATGGCGCCAACGTGCCGTCCAAAACTGAATTGACTCTGAGAGGCGTTGGGAGCCGTTGTCAAATAGAATGTGGCTCTTCTTTAGCGGCACTGCCCTCTGCTGTTCAACAACGTGGGGTGAACAGCAATGGTGCGGCTGCAGCTGAGACGCCGTGAGACGCTGCGAAATGCGTCGCAGCTCTAAAGCTCGCTGCAAATTAATGGCGATGCAGGAATGTTCCCTTTTACTTATTTATTTAAGCACTACTACGTCACGCGATTGTGGACGATTTTTGACCCCCCCCTTCGTCACACCGGCGTCACAAAAAGTCAGACCCCCCTCAAATATGACGTCACAAAGCTCTGCCCCACCCCCCCCCCCAAAAAAAATAAAAAAATGCTTTAAATCGCTTTAAACTATTGTCTTTGTAGTGCGTATTTAATGTGGCGCTGCACTCTGATGTTGTAAAAGAAAACATTAAAAAGTCTATTTAATAAAGTAGAACGTGTTGTCTATAGTTATTCCAAGTTGCGCATTTTGATGTGACGTCACATTTCTCAACCCCCTCCCCCTCGTCACACATCGTCACAAATGTCTGACCCCTCCCTCTAGGTGCGTGACGTCATTTATAGACGGCCTCAAAAACTAAAGTAAAATGTTAATAAATACGTGTGGTTCGATGTAAGCAAAGTATTTGTACCTACGCGCCCGTGCTTAAGTTGTGTTCTCGATGATTTACTTAAAAAAAAATCCGGCCACGTCTCGCGCCCCCAGAAAGGGCATCTCGTGCCCCCAGGGGGTGCAGCGTGCAGCCCCTGGCAGGAGGAAGAACCACCGCACTCACGAGATGATTGCAGAACAACTCTAGCCACAGGGGGAGGGGCTAGTCACTCTAGCCACAGGGGGAGGAGGGGGAGGGGCTAGTCACTCTAGCCCCAGGGGGAGGGGGAGGAGGGGCTAGTCACTCTAGCCCCAGGGGGAGGGGGAGGAGGGGCTAGTCACTCTAGCCCCAAGGGGAGGGGCTAGTCACTCTAGCCCCAGGGGGAGGGGGAGGGGCTAGTCACTCTAGCCCCAGGGGGGGGGGGGAGGGGCTAGTCACTCTAGCCCCAGGGGGAGTGGGAGGGGCTAGTCACTCTAGCACAGGGGGAGGAGGGGGAGGGGCTAGTCACTCTAGCCACAGGGGGAGGAGGGGGAGGGGCTAGTCACTCTAGCCCCAGGGGGAGGGGAGAGGGCTAGTCACTCTAGCCACAGGGGGAGGAGGGGGAGGGGCTAGTCACTCTAGCCACAGGGGAGGAGGGGGAGGGGCTAGTCACTCTAGCCCAGGGGGGGGGGGAGGGGGCTAGTCACTCTAGCCCCAGGGGGAGGGGGAGGGGCTAGTCACTCTAGCCCCAGGGGGAGGGGGGGGAGGGGCTAGTCACTCTAGCCCCAGGGGGAGGGGGAGGAGGGGGAGGTATTCTTAGGTGTTTTCGGTAAAGGATGGGGAGGGGCTAGTCACTCTAGCCCCAGGGGAGGGGGGGAGGGGAGGGGGGGGAGGGGCTAGTCACTCTAGCCCCAGGGGGAGGGGGAGGAGGGGGAGGGGCTAGTCACTCTAGCCCCAGGGGGAGGGGGGGGAGGGGCTAGTCACTCTAGCCCCAGGGGGAGGGGGAGGAGGGGGAGGGGCTAGTCACTCTAGCCCCAGGGGGAGGGGGAGGAGGGGCTAGTCACTCTAGCCACAGGGGGAGGGGCTAGTCACTCTAGCCCCAGGGGGAGGGGCTAGTCACTCTAGCCCCAGGGGGAGGGGCTAGTCACTCTAGCCCCAAGGGGAGGGGCTAGTCACTCTAGCCCCAGGGGAAGGAGGGGGAGGGGCTAGTCACTCTAGCCCCAGGGGTAGGAGGGGGAGGGGCTAGTCACTCTAGCCCCAGGGGGAGGAGGGGGAGGGGCTAGTCACTCTAGCCCCAGGGGTACGCGGCTCGGCTTCAGTGCGCCGCTTCGCGACGTTATTTATTGAGGATCTCCGTTTCGTATTCACCCACGGTGCATTGCGGCTCGTGAATTATTGAGTTGTTTTTTGTTTTTTAAACAGAGTTCGAAAAAATTGTCTCTCGTCCTTTCGGTTGTCGACCTCTGCACTCGCGACTGGAGCTGTGCACTTTTAAATCTCCATTGAAAACTCGCTTCTTTAGAACTGCCGTTTGTGTTGAGTTTGTTGTGCTTCCCCCACACCCCCGATTAGCAAAACTCCTCACAGATTGATTGAACAATCCATTGCGAGTACGGTTATCCTCTGACCACGTAGCACATGGCTTACGAAACGGTGTGCGTGTTTTCCGGAAGGTTGAGACTGACTGCGGCGCTCTGTCCACTCTCACCCCGCTTGTGCCGAACCCACGCAGATCGGCGCCTGGCTGTGGACGCTTCCATCTTCCTCCACCAGTTCGCCAGCAGCATGGGCTACATGCGGCACAGGTGCGCGCCCCGGGGCCATATCCTAAGTCCCATAGCAGACCCCAAAAGCAGATCCCAAAAGCAGATCCCAAAAGCAGATCCCAATTGCAGATCCTAAAAGCAGATCCCAATAGCAGACCACAAAAGCAGACCCCAATAGCAGATCCCAATAAAAGATCCCAAAAGCAGATCCCAATAGCAGACCCCAGTAGCAGACCCCAAAAGCAGATCCCAAAAGCAGATCTCAAAATCAGATCCCAATAGCAGACCCCAATAGCAGAACCCAAAATCAGATCCCAATTGCAGACCCTAATAGCAGATCCCAATACCAGACTCCAATAGCAGACCCCAAAAGCAGATCCCAAAAGCAGATCTCGATAACAGATCCCAATAGCAGATCACAATTTAATAACTCATCTCAGGTTCAATCTCTTGGCTCCATAGCAGATTTCAATGTATATCCCACAGCAGATCTCATAACTTGTGTAATAAAGTGTTGAGTTACGAATAACAGGTCCACCAGAAGACACTGAGGCATATCCCATAGCAGATCCCATCGCACGTCACACTAATCTGTCTTGTAGATCCAATAGCAGATCCTAGAGCAGTTCCCATCAATGGTGGCGTGGTAAGTCTTCTAGCAAGCGGACACAGTTATACATAACATTACAGTTCTACGTAACATCACAGTTCTATGTAACATTACAGTTCTATGTAACATTGCCGATGCCACTGACAGTGACTCCATCTGTTGTGCAGCCACCTGCTGGGCACGTTCTACCGCACGGTGGGACTCATGGAGCTGGGAATCCTCCCCATCTTCGTGTTCGATGGCCCCCCACCCATCCTCAAGGCTCCCCTGGTAAGGGCCGTCCGTGTGCGTCCGTGTGCGTCCGTGTGCGTACGTGTGCATACGTGTGTGTGCCTGTACATGTGTGACGGGGAGCGTTATTGTAGCGGTTAGCGCGGCGCACTATGAACCCGGCGACCCGACTTCGATCCCCGCTCACGGACAACACCAGTGATGATTATCTGAACCGGTCCTGGGCCTTTCCCTAGGTCGACTCAGCCTCAAATCAGTACCTGGTGTGGTGTGTAAACATCGCCACTGGGGAGACAAAGGCGGCCGGGCGTGGTGCTGGCCATCCACCCCCTCGTGTGACATGCCGGCCTTTATAGGTGCTACTCGCTAACAGCACTTGCCCCTACAGCCTGTTATGATTTACTGGCCTTTGCTAATCCAATGCTGGATGAAAGCATCCCTACACCTTTAGGCCATAGGGGTGGCTTGAACATACTTCACCATACTCGTCCGTGCTGGTTGGTGAAGTAGAAAGGAACCAAGATCAATTCAGAAAGTGTTTGGCACCGATGTGAGCCAGGGCTGGGAATCCAACTCAGGTCATCATATTGACAGTCCAGTGCACTGCTCCACACCGTATTCTGCAGTAAAATATAAATAATTTACAGCTGTTTCTCAATCCACTGGTGGATGAAGGCGATCCCATGCTGCATCAGGCTTGGGTTTTAGTTTAGCCGTGCATCGCCACATTGGTCAAAAGGGTTTGTGAAGGGGATTCCCAGGGACCGCTTCAAATATCACTCGCCACTGATCTTAGCCCTGACCAGGTATGGAAACTCAGGTTCACCAGGTTCGCAGTGCGATGCACTAGCCACTGCACCATCACTCTCTGCAAACTCGATGATATAAAATATTTGAGATGTTTCGAGCAAATATCACAGCACATACAAATAAATGTCTGCTGTGATTCTCTCATGCAAGTGAAGGCTATATTCTTGGTTCTTTCGGTAAAGTCACGTAGAAGGGAAATAATAAAATAATAAAAAATATATTATTTCCCTTCTACGTGATTTTACCGAAAGAACCAAGAATATGAATCCCTGCAGTCACGAAAGCTTTAAATCTAAATTCAAGCGAAGACTCGTGTGAACTGCGTCGTAACCGTGGATTCTGCCGCGTTTGTTTTTCAGCTGAAAAAGCGCGCAGCGGTGAGGCAAGTCGCCATCGAAGGTATTGATTGAAATAAAAAGAATTAAACAACTGCGATGCGAGCAGCTTCTCCATTTGTAATTCGGTCAAAGTCTCTCTCTTTTTGAACAACAGCTAATTGTCCCAAACATCATCAGGCTCCTATGATTTGTCGCTGTTGCTCCAAGGACAGTGTCTGTGACGAACGTGGTGCTGATCCTTTCGACTCGCGTAGCAGTGGAAGTACCCGTTGCTGCTGTTGTTGTTGAACACTACGGTACGTCACGTGATGCGGTACCTGGACATCTTGAGTCGAGCACCCCGACTCCTTTACAACAGCACTTTTAGAGAAGGTAAATGCGCAGCCCTGCAATTTGCTTTCTCATGCCACTGCTGGCAGAAGGGCTTCCATAACAGCAAAATAAAGAGGGCATTTTGTCTTCCCTTTCACGTTGATCAGACACGTTGGGATAGGTGGGAGTGACTGCACATTACTCCACTGCTCACGACCTGCCAATCGGCTAACTGTTGTCTTGTACCCAGCTCCATGCAACAATGCATTGTTAGGTGCACACGTGTGCATTGCGTTAAAACGGGATGGAGTTTGCGTTTTTCTCCCTGTTTTTTTGGGACGGCATGGTTGGAGTGGTGATGCTGCCTGTTGGAAGGCTGTGCTTTGCGGTTGACCTTTGCTTTTCGTCAATAAAGACTTGATTGTTGTTACCAGACCACGTACAGTTGGGAAGGTAACCAGTACGAAAAGAGACAATTACAGTAGACTCTCGATTATCCGCGTGCGGTTTATCCGATTTGCGCATTAACCACGTGTTGCACACTCGAAATGAAGGACGTGGGCAGGTGCTCCAAATCGAGGGCAAGCACATTTATTTATTGTAGTTAATATTAATCTTGTGAAGAACAGCACCGTCACTCTGTAAAATGCAACAACGCGCGTTACACGCAGCAATTCTTCCGAGACGCCATTAACTATGTGGCTGGTTTACACGTGCGGTTATTCATTAACCCTGCCAGCCACCTACAGGCCCGACTCGGTCACCACATGCTGCTGTACACACATGCATTGATGCACTGCACAGCACATCAGGACCTTCACAGAACCATACTTTACTCCCTTGCTGCACAAGGATATAATTAAAAGAGTGATCCATTCCTAATGTGCCACACACGTGCCTGACATTTTGACATAAATTAATAACCCGTGGACTTTCCCTTAAGCACAAATTAATCATCTAAAAACAGTGATAGATTGTTATTCATGGAAATGTGTATTACAAGTCACGTGCTAAAACCGAAAAAATATGTGCTCCGGTTAATCCGAAATCCACGTGATCGCCTCTCCAATACAGTAGTTCCATATCTTTATAACAATGGGCAGAGTTTGATTGATTTTGATTGGCGTGGCTCTGCTGTCCACTTAGTGGAAAGACTCTTCTGGTAGGCCGGAGCAGGGAAGTGATATTATTTTCACTGAGCACTGGCATCGATCAGTCGATGGTTAGTTTTTGGCACAGAGATCCGCGGCAAATTAAAATTTTTGTGTTATCCGCAATTTGGGATTATCCACAGCCGTGCTCTGCGTCGATTGCGCGGATAATTGACAGTCTGCTGTATTTGGTTTAAACATCAACAAACATTTATTTATCACTAAAGTGTCTTTGAGTTTGTAGAACGACTGTGAAAACTTTGTTCTTCTCTTTGTTTGTTTTCAGCTTTTCGGGCGGCCAAGGAGGCTGCAGCAAAGGTCGGTAGGCATTATCAAGTTCTTGCCTGGGTGTTTAGATCACTACTATCATCATCACTACCCAGTGCCGGATTAAGCTAGTGCGGGGCCTGTAGCATATATTGTTATAAAGGGGCCCAAAATAAATTAAAAACGCATATTAAACTCAAATTTGTAACTTGCATAGTAAAGTAATTCTATTTTTTCATTTGCTATACAGGCAGATAATACGACAAATCGCTAACCTTAAACACCCAGCCGTTCATAAAAGTTGAAGGCAGTATAGTACTATAGTAATATAAGAACCTTTTTGTGGCCTTGGGCACGGTGTAATGCAACTGGGGTGATCTTCTCCCGGGGCGGCGTGATGCGTTGCTACAAAATATAAACATTATGTCACTGACCAAGCCAAGAGCTCAGAATCTCTTTATCAAGAAAAAAAAAACTTTGGTGTAAATATAGTATTACACGTATCAATAATCGGTAATAATTATCATCAGCTTTGTCGATCCACTGCAGTTGACCAAGCAGATTCCGTGGTAGTAGTCTTCTGGTTGTTTGACCGTAATGCGCTGTGCTGCTCATCCCAAGTCAGTCAACCCATGGCACATGGGTCTGTCCCATGACCTGCCAGCCGGCTTTCAACACTTCTCGTGGCCTTAAAGTGCACCTAGCCTGGCACAAGCGCCGTGGTGACCTCACCGCCACTTAGTGGTTGTATTGCTCAGTGCCGTTTGGTGAAGGAGTGCGGATCCTGCCGGGTTCTGACCGCTGTCTCTCTCCGTCGCAGGCAAACGCCGAGGCCACCGATTCGCCAGTTCCGGCGGAGACTTCGACGACCCCAGGGTGGACCGGTGAGTAACGCGGCGGGGAACACGAGGAAACCAGTTACCCTTCACGTAGGCTTTCGCGACCACTATTGTCCATAACAGAGGTTTTTTTTCTCGGGTTAGATCACGTAAATATATAACTGTGTCGTTAAACCCTCCAACACCCGGCACAGCCATTTAGTGAGGTTTGTCACGTAAACGAAACATGCCAATTCGTTACACACCGGTGTGTTGAACTGCACGGTGGCCCGCGGAATGACGTCGATGCATGGCCCAATCCAGCGTGTTCACAGCGCCGGGCTCCGGTTGGCCCCTCCGCATAAACACGGTGCCCTGCATTTTACACGCAACCTTGAGGAATGCAACGGGAGTGGAAAACAGTGTCGGGTAGCTGTTGGACAGGGAGCTCTTGGTTCTGAGCATGTGGTGGAGAGGCAGCTGTTGTACAGATGGTGGCGTAGAAGAACCTGTAACAGGCCAAGAGGCAAAAAGTACCTCTGAGTTCTGCAAAGAGCCAAGTGTATATATATGTGTATATATAAGTGTGTATTTATATCTTTACAGTTTTCGGCACAGCAGAGGAGACATTCATTGTTCTTTGCTACTGTGATAGTGCGTTCTATAAACTAGTCAACTTTATTTTACCAGGTAATGCACACTGAGCTGTCTAGCTCTATTTTCAGAAGCGACCTGGCCACACATGATAGCTCAACGAAGTGGCTTGTCGCGTGGAAATTTATAGTAGCAGCCAAATACTCTCAACGCATGATTCTAAATATGGAGGTAAAAACCGGAGGACCTGGAGAAAAATCCACACTACCACGGGGAGAGACACTTGCAAACTCCAAATATACTGGCGTCAGGGTCGGGATCGAACCCATGACCTGTATGCCAGGCGAGGTAGTTAACATCTCGCCACCATGGCGCCCTACGTTATGCCCCTTTTATAGAGCCACATCTGGTGGATTAAAGAGACGCATGCGGCTTATGGAGACGCCAGTTGGCCACCGCTGCCGTAGAAGAAGAGTGCGAGCGCACTCATGGGATGGGGTTGGCACGCGCTTGGACAGAGACCGCTGGAAGAGCTTCTTGACATTACAGAATCGGGAAACATTCCCATTGTTCAATGTTCCCCACTGGTGTACGACGTCCTCGTTTCACGAGGTTTGCCGAGGCCTGAACGCTTTAGTCGTCTGGACGCGCTGGCTCTCGACTCTTCTCTGCGACGCATGCAGGCCGTGCCGGATTGCCCACTTTTTTTCCTTCTCCCTCAAAGGTCTCCTTGTCCGCTCCCCTCTTCTCCCCGATCGCTTGGTCAGCTCTCTCGTTATTTTTCTAAACTTATGCCTCAGAGAGGAGTAGAGTGCAACACGTCTTACATGTACTTTAACCGTAATCACGTTCATGTATTTTGGCAATTATGTAATTTTATCGCGAAAGCTCCGAGAAGAAAAAAGAATATTAACACCACGAAATATGTTAACACACATATGAATCATAACGATTCGCTATCATAACGGTGATGTAATGGACCTCTTCAGAAGTCGGGCACGTGAGCCATGCCCAGCGGTGGAGTGTGGTCAGCACGGGACCTGTTGCACGGAATGAAACAGGGCTCCTCCCCCCCTTCCTCTCCGATCTCCCCCCTCTTTGTAGCCTGGCGCCTGGGCTCCTCCTGCCCGCAGGCCTCGGGTGGCAGTTGCGCCGTCAGCGCATTCAATAGCCACGCCACTAAAACCCGCGCCCAACCGGCGTGCACCTGTCCTCGGGTGACCAGTGGGGGAAGACTCACGGGGGGGGGGGCAAATCTGAGATGGGTTCTGTGAAGAGGTGAGCGATGATCGCGCACCTGGAGGAGACGAGCGCGATGGAGGTTGTCACCTGGTTTGTCGTGATCGCTCGTTGCCCTCCGTGTGTGACGTGCAGAGCTCACCAGTGCCGAGAAGAGGGACACGTTTGAGCAGGAGTGCATGAGGATGCTGAAGCTCATGGGAGTGCCCGTCATTAAGGTAGACCACGCACTGGGGGTTTGCTCCACAAGTTGGCCCATGAGCCACAGCGGAATTCGCTACCACTCGAGGTTTAACAGCACACAGAGATGTGCAGCAGTGCATGTACAAAAGCTCTCAGCCTTATCCAGACCACCAGCTCAAAAGAACAGAATTTTTTTGTCTGAAAGTTTTTGTACATGCAATGCACACAATTGTGCTTCATTAAATCGGTTGGTTCCGGCCTTCACGAATTTTTCTCTTGTGATGCATTTTCTAGTGACTTACAAACTTTAATTACCACTAGAGGTAGCAAATATTTAGTGATACCAGTTTCTGTATGTGAATAATACAAGTGGATTATTTGATGACTTGTTTATTAAATAGGGTTATTGCACGTTTCACTCTTACTGGCAATTCAAAGATGTTGGCACAGCACTATTTTTGTCAGCTCAGGTGGTACCAAGAATTAAAATATTTAATCTGGGCGCTTGGACTAAGATTTGGTGCTCGGGGTGACCGGGTGGTGGTTCACAAGAACGCTGATGAGGAGTGAATCTAGGAATCTGCCCAGCTGTGATGCTTACACGTGGGAACCCTCGATCACTATCAAGACAAATGGACCACAATGCAGTTCTTCTGAACCGATGGTTTCCCATACAAGGCTGACAGCTTTTGACACACATAGTGCACGTGTTTGTGTGTTTCCTGAAACCTTTTGTTTTTTTGCCGGCGCTGATTTCTCTATTGTGATGGGCTTTCTTGTCATTTACAGATTTTAATTCTACGGTTGAAATATTTTAATGTTGCATGCGACCTGAGCTGTGGTCCCGTCTGCTAAATCTCTTCTCTCTGTCTCCCGGCCCGGCACAGGCCAAGAGCGAGGCGGAGGCCACGTGCGCGGCGCTAGTGCTCGCTGGGAAGGCGTATGCGGTGGCCACCGAGGACATGGATGCGCTGCCCTTCGGCACGCCGGTGCTCGTGCGTGGCCTCAAGATTCACAACAACCCGTAAGAGCGAACGCAGGTCGCGTGACACCCCCTCATCGTCGTCACCGGCGCTGCGACGCGTCTCTCACCCACGCGGCGCGCGAGGCAGCGGCGGTCTTCCTCGTAGCGACTGGGATGTTTTTTGTTTCACCACTTTCTAACTCCGGTTTGAAGTCTTGGCTGAATTAGGTTTTGGCCGTCCGTCTTTAACTTGCAGGACATTATAACTCTTTGTACAGATGATCCAATGTACATGGAAGTTTAGTTTAAAGTTGTCCATCAGTTAGGGACTTGCCCTCTAGAAAACTGTCCATATTAAATAGATGGTTGTCCAAAACTTGCACACAGTTCGGTGATAAAATGGCATAAAATACTTGCATTGGCATCCGTATACTGCTAAGAGATCCGAGGACAAACGCGTGTTGGAAAACGCTAGAGAATCCACACATACGTGCGATTCTTCTTCATTGTTTTGGTGATCTCTCTATTCTTGTGCACAGGACTCTCAAAGAAATTTGCCTGTCGGAGGTGCTCGCCGGTCTGAAGCTGACGCAAGAAGAGGTGGGATTCTACACACAGAAGCGGGGTTAACCGCGCACGCTAATATAGTACAAAGAGAGATGCTGCTGCTGCGGTGTAATTGTAATGGGTTCAATCGAGGCGCACACTAGAACTTGGAGGCAACATGTTTTATTAACTAACATCACAAACTCTTAACACTAACGGGATAACGACATAGGGTGGTAACCCATCTGTCCTATACTTAACTCTATACACTTGGGGGAAATGGCTAATTACACTCTGGACGGGACAACTACTACATCGGACCAGGACAGCCAATGCGCTGCCTGGTCCACGTGTGCGACACCCAGAGATCGAGGATCACGACCACGAAGGTTTCTTCCCAGCCAGGACCAACCCCGGTCGCCCCCGGGACTCGGCTTTTATCCTCTGCGGGGTGGCCAGGCCCCGCCCTTGGCCACGCCCCTTTCCCAGATCCTTCGTGAGGGTTCAGGATCCACCTCACGTGTTCCTCTCACCCTTACCCTGGTCCTCGTTACCACCTCATCTGGTCACGTGCCCCCTCGTGTTTACCCAGCCTCTTCCCTGGTATGCCCATCCGGTGCCAGGGAGAAGCTCCGCCCATACAGTACCGCTCACACTGTACTGTCACTACACTACAGTGCCGTCACCAATGACACCACACACACAGTACCGCTCACATCATCAATGACACTACACAATGGTTAGAAAACTGGACTTGAAATCTGGAGGTCGCTGGGTTGATTCGACCTCACGGCGTGGCACTTGAAAAAAAGTTGCAAGTTTCTTAACTCACCTCCCCCCCCCCCCCAGCGCCTCTTTCCACCCAGCTGGGTAAATTTCTTCACCACAGACAATAGGTTGCGAGATGTTAACGACCTCGCCTGGTATACAGGAGGTTGTGGGTTCTAAACAAACCCTGACACCTGCTGTATATTTGGAGTTTGCATGTTCTCCCCATGGTGGCGTGAATTTTTCCTCCTGTTTTTCCCTCCATATTTAGAATCAACATGCGCTTAGAGAAGTTGGCTGTTCTAAATTTCCACACGATGACAAGCCACTTAATGTAGCTATCGTTTGTGGTGGCCAGATCGCTTCTGAAAAAAATAGCTACGTAGCTCAGTGGGGCCTTACCTGCTTAAATAAAATAAAAGTGTAATAGTTTATTTTAATCTGGCCAGCATGGAAGAGAAGGCCAATTACTGTTCAGAGTTTCTAGGACTCTCTAGAGCTCCCTCTATTGGAGAATATTCTGTCAGCAGTGGCGTGGAAGCCAAGCTGTTGCACGGAAGCACCTTTTTACCACTTCACTTTTCTCTTTCTTTCCCCCCACCAAACTTCTGGAAAGCATCCCTTAGATTAAAGATCGTGTCAGTGTGCATGTCACGCTTGCTGGGGGCGGGGGGTGGGGAATGGCTCGTCTCGCTGTTGCGTCTCAGGTGGTGGCGCGTTTAATATTCTCCTCCGTTCACGCAGCCCAGGCCCCAGGTTCTTTTTAAAGACAGCTCAGGGGAGCAGAGGGATCAGCACACTCACTTTAATTGGGCCTCATCGTGCGTGACGGAAGAGCTTTACGTGGAAGGTTACAGTGATGCCTGTTGTCTGTTTGGCGATGAATTTGGCAGGAGGGTTCATGGCCAAAAAAGCAGCGGGGGTTATCCACCCCAATGTAAATGGATTTATCTGCCAGCAGGGGTGTTTGAATGTCGCCGGACCGTGGGTTTGATGGGGAAATTACAGGTGGAGGTTTGTCGCCCGCGTCGTTAATAGCGAATCGGCGTAACGCGTGGTGCGTTTAGAGATTGTGAACTGTCAGGCTAAAAAGAATCTTCCGAAATCGTGAAAAACCCCTCAACATTGGTTAATATCAAGCAATGTGTCTAAGTCAGCGAGCGTAGAGAGGCCGCAGGGGTAGAATGGTGTCTATTTGTGTGCTGTAAAGAAGCGGCACTGCCCAAAATCTCACATTTCAAACCTTTCTTTTAAAGCTGCAGTGGTAGTATTTGGAGACGTGTTGAATGTTTATGTTACGTGTGCTTGTGCACCACTGCCAATGCAGCTATGTCACCAAGTATATATTTTTTGCAATCATATTTTGTTCACTTCCAAATACAATAGGCTCACTTATTCTCTGTCTCATTGATGCATGCCTTTAAATGTGTTAATGTACATAAAAAAAAAATTCCCTCCAAATTTAATCCAAATCGTGTTATTGGCATCACGTCAATGAAACAAAGAATCTATTCATAGCTCTCGCAGATCAGTGCAACCATTCATGTTAGGAAATGGTCCGCAGATGCGGATATCACAGACCTTCCTCTGAGATCACTTCTAGTTACCGCTGGTCCACACAGTAGGGGACAGCACTTTCCCGCCTGCCCTGTAACCAAATTGTATTTATTTCTAAGACCTGGAATTAAATAAAATTATGCAGGAATTGGTGACCGAGCTGAGATCATCAACTCACTGCACGAGAGAACTCGAGTTGTAATCACAGGTGGCCGAAACCTGGGTCCGAACCAGGCCACCGCCTGGGCTAACGGCGTACGCGTGTCCTGTGCTTGCACCGTGTGTTCCCTGCGTTGTGCAGTTCATTGACCTTTGCATCCTGCTGGGCTGTGACTATTGCGAGTCCATCACTGGCATGGGCCCTAAGAAGGCCCTGCCCCTCATCAGGAAGTACCACAGCATTGAGGGCATCCTGAAGCACCTGGATACCAAGGTGAGACGAGGGCTCGCGACAAACACCGGCCAACGTGGTGGTGGTGTAGCACGCCGAGAGACAGAAAGACGAACAAACGGATTCGAGAACGCAAATCATGTCAGTGAGTGGGCAGGAAATGCCTTGGCTAGGTGGGCATGACTAACAATGGAGCGGCAGTAAAGTAAAAAAAGCAAGCTGAAAAAACTAAATGCGTACCCAATACAAGTGGTGTATATTACTTATTGGAGATCACACGCAACAGCAGCAGTCGCAGCATCGACCCCCTCCTGCAAAACACTCGGCAGGAGCCTCCTGAAAAAAGTGTCTTGAGACTCAGTGAGATTTTCTGCAGAAATTGCCGAGTAATAACACAACAGTGTAACGCAACCACAGAGGTGCGTTGCAGTGCGATTGCGTTTGGCCGATTCTGACAGGACAACGGGCGGTGACTTTGTCGGTGCATTGCAGAAGTTTACTGTGCCCACCGCTTGGGACTTCAAGGGAGCCCGTGAACTCTTCAAGAACCCGTCCGTGTGTCTGGAGGGGGTTCCCGAGAGCCTGGTGGCCTCTACTCCGGACGAGGAGGGCCTGGTGCAGTTCCTCGCGGTGGAGAAGCATGTCATCAAGTGAGGCCTTCCTTCTTGTTCTTTTTGCGACCTCACGCTTTTCCGACCAACGCGTCGGCGCCGTTTATCTGCCTCGAATGGGCTGCAGGGTGGGGGGGGGGAGTCACGTTGGCGCTCGTAAAGGCGATTCAATATGAATGGAAGCTTAGCGTCAAGTTGTGTTGCAACTGGGGACTTACCCCAGAGAAAACCGGCCACATTCATTGAGGTAATAGTCCCCAAAAACTGGGCAATAAGATTTAAATAATTTGTCTTGGTGTTTTTGTTGACGTCATTGCGTGACATCATCTCCCAACGTAACACATCATATGCCACGTGACATCGTCGTATACATTTTAATCTTCGAATTTAAATGATCGCTTTGACTGTCATGTGATGAACAGCATTGCAAAGCATTGTAGGATGCTGTTGGCATGAATAACGTTATATAAAATGAAAGCATTATTATCAGTATTACTCTGCAGCAGGGTGGATGGGAAAGTGCTGCCACTTGCAGGGATCTCAGAAATAGTTCTGCGATATCTGCTTTCATGGGCCTTCATGTTGTGAGAGAGCTCCAAATGGATCACGTATCTCATGACATGACAGTGATTGCACAATCAGGATCGAACTGGAATAACAAAAAAGCTCTCGTCGCGATGCTGTATAAAGCTAAAACAGGATCTTTGTGTGTGTGCGTGCTCGCGCGTGCGTGCGCATCACGGAGCGCAGGGAGGATCGCATCCGCAAGGGTGTGGAGCGACTGAGGTTTTACTCGCAGGCGACCAAGCAGAAGAGGATTGACAGCATCTTCAAATCCAGCAAGCGGCAGCGGAAGGCGGAACAAGCGGAGGAGGATGCGGTAGCGAGAGCACCCATCGCGACCCCACAGCTGTCAACCCACACGCTTTACCCCGAATTCTTGTGCAGGGAAATTCAGTTTCCAGTTCCATACGGCGTACAGCCGTTTCAATACGGGCATATATATATATTTGTCTGTTTGTGTTTCCCCCTTGCGATGGGACTTTGTAGGATGAACGTTGAGATTTATAAGGGCACGGGGTGACCACTAAGGTCTGAATTGGTCTGTAACAAGGTAGGGCACTGATAAGGCGTTGACAGGGATGTGACCCCGCTCACCCACGTGGAGCTATTCCCGGTCGCCATTGGGACGCTGCACAACGTGGGGGTCCCAAACAATCGGACGAGAGGGTCAAGAGGGGCAATCGGCGATGCTGGGCACAGGAGTGGGATGACAGTCCGAATCCTCGATCCTTCTCTCTTTGCTGTCCAATTCACGTGACTTGTTCACACGCTATCTAAATAAAATAGATTCAAGTTAATCTGACATTTGTGCAGAAATTTGGTGCCAAGACATTTAGTGATTCTTAATCTCTTCTGACATTCTTATAATTAACGGAAAAAGCTCTTTTCATTCGAGTTATTTACAATAATTCGAGGTACATACTGTCCGTCTCGAATCGCTTTCACTGGCATCGTTATTTAGTCAATTTCCGCTGTGCACGTGGCTCACTTGCGACGCTCCCTCTTGTCGCAGGCGGGCGGGAAGATGGGAAAACTGGAGGATGCGGAGGAAGTCGACGACGAGAAGGAGGAAGATACTGGGCCACCACTGCCCATCAACTCTCCGGCCTGCGTTCTGTAACGCACCCCCGCAGCACTGAGGCCACTCCGCCACCACTCTCATTCCTGTAGTGACAGTAGTGCACATCGAGGGCGGCTGTGACCTTCCTTTAGAAGAAGGGAGGAGCACAACGCTTGGGGTTTAGTGATGTGCGGGTAGTGGGTGAGTGGTAGTGGTGGTGGTAGGGAGAGAAGGATAGGTGCTGGTTCTCGTGCGGTCAGCATCTGGGGGTTAGTGGTTGGTATCGGTTCGTTGGGCTGGGGTCGTGGAGCAGAGTTGAGTCGGAGGTGAGGACAACGAAAAAAAGTGATTTGATATTTTTTTCTCCATTTGAAGAAAACAACGGAACATTTGTTTTGCCTTAATGACACTATTGTCATTAACTCTTACAATAGGGTTTTTAGTAGTTTATGGATGGAAACTCCATGAATTCTGGAATGATTTGCATCAATATTCCATGATTTCTGGGAATATTTACATGGAATTCCATCATTTATGGAATAATTATATGGACATTTCCAAATTTCTGCAATAATTTCGATCGAGATTGAACCTTTCCTGGGATGAGTTGTAAACATATTCCATAATTTATGGAATACTTGAAAAAAACAGCAACCAGCATGTTCTTTCGACGTGACCACTTGTTTGTCCGTCTCTCCCACCCAGCCAGCAAAACGTTATCTGATAACGAGAGCCTTGTTTCTCACAACCTTTTTCTTCGCTACTCTGCACTGTATATCGAGATGAATCTCTATTTCTCACGTTGTCTCTGTCTGTGTCTCTCTTCATGCCCCCTCTTCTCCCTCCCCCTCAATATTCCTCTCCCCCCTCCACTATGTCTCACTTCCCTCCCCCCTGTCTCCCTCCCTGTATCTCTCTCTACTCTCACTCTCGCTCTCCTTATTCCCACATCTCCCTTTCCTCTCTTGCCTCTCCCTAATATTCCCTCCCACTGCTTGTTGCTATACCTCACTCTCTCTTTCCATTTTGCTCTATTACCTCCCTCCCTCCCTCCCTCCCTCCCTCCCTCCCTCCCTCCCTCCCTCCCTCCCTCCCTCCCTCCCTCCCTCCCTCCCTCCCTCCCTCCCTCCCTCTATCTCTCTCCCCTATCACATGGGGTGGAGGGTGGGTGGGGGAGCGTTACGCCAGCGAGATTCACAAACCTGGCTCAACGCTGGGGAATACGGGCGACGGTCATACAGATACGCTTGGTGATGTCACCACCGTGCACATGCACTTGTGCACCAGACAGAAATCCAGCCAGGCAGCCATGAATCCAGCCAGCAAAACTTTTTTAAAAATAATATAGTATGGTTTCAGGATTTCCGGAATCATTTTAAAAGAATCTCTATCATTCCTGGAATAGTTTATATAGGAATTTCATCGTTCCTGGGCATATTTTTTAAAGGAAATTCCATCATTCTTGGAATAATTATCACGATTACTGTCATTCCTGAAATAATTTTAATGGCCACTGTCATTCAGGGAATAATTTTCACTGAAATTTCATAATTCCTCGAATGATATGGAAACATTGTTATTCCTGGAATAATTTAATGGAAACTTCAGCATTCCCGGAATCACTTTTGGAATGAAAAATCCATTATTCCTGGAATAATTTTTTAATGGGAACATTGCCCTTCCTGGAAATGTTTTTATGAAAAGTCCTTCATTTTGGAATAATTTTTAAATGAAATGTTATTATTCTTGGAATAATTTTAATGGAATCTCCAGCATTCTTGTAATAACGTTTGTGACATTTTAATCTAAAGCCCTCACCTCTGAGGTCCAAAACCATACGGCTCAAGTCCGGCAGTACTGGTCACATAGCTCACTGCTGCGACCAGCCCCGGAACTAAGATCGCGACTCAATCGAGTCGCGATCTCGGGCTCCCGAGTTGTGATCATGAGATTGATAGTGCATATATTTTTACTCTAAAGTCCATGATACACTCAAACGCTTTGAGGGCAATAGCACTCTCTACATGCTGGAGTGAAACGTCCTGACATCATGCCGAACATTACGTGGTAAAATCCGAAAAAACTACGCAGTGGTGATTTTAGGTCAATCGTGGGTGACATTCAACATAGGTGATAATTTTCTCAAATTTGGACAAATTTGATCACCGCTTTCCATTGCAGGCAACTTGGATGGCAATTTCCATTCGGCTTGTAGCCAGAATTCACATGACTTCCCATGGTTGTATGCTGCCTAGGTCTGTATGTATGTATGTAGAACTTCTTTCGCACCGTACATAGCCAACCGTGCTAGTAGGAGGTGCAGGGGAATTAAAACAAACCAAACACGAAAAGGAGTTCAATCAATGATTCGAAAACAGACTTTTAAACAATCTCTTTTCTTGTTGGTTAGACAGAACTCCGGCACTCCATGCCATTTCCTTTCCGAGTTGCCAGTCACTCATAGTACAAGGGAGGCTGAGACAATTGCCCTACACTGGCCCCAGTGTATCATGCCTAAGGCTAAGATTTTGGCATGGTAGCCGTTGATAACATTCACGGAATGATAATGGGATTAGCTCGGACGGCTCACCCGTTACCCCTGACGTACGACACTTTCGAAAGGAAAGAAAGGGAGCGTGTAACCCAATGTATTTCCGCATTTTCCGAGATTTCACGGACTATCTTAAAAGTCACGATTTTCGAGAACCAAAATCACAGCCTAAATTGCGGCGTTTAGAAAGCGGAGGCTGTTGAAGCAGAGAGGTTGGGCTGCCGGGGGCCGTGAGTGTTTGGAGGCGACTGTGCCTTGTGGCAGGGTGAGAGGACATCTTTAGCCTGACATTGGCTTTGCAGCCAGGCCTCCCGTCTCTCGTGCAGCCATGAAAATTGAGAACCAAATCATTTGTCGAGATGTAAAACCCTCACTAAGCACTTGCTCATGTAGATGCTCTTAACGTCAGTTTGCGGCAGGACTCTTTAATGAAAGGAGCATCCTACGGGAATTAGACTTTTTCGGTAGAGAATGCAGGGTGACCATGAAGATTTCATCTGTTATGAAATATACATATATAAATTTATACAGCAGTTTGAACTGTGCGGTTGAATATTATCCCATACAAACTTGAGCGGTCTTCAAGGTGACTCTGCAGAAGCGTCCAAATCGCTCAAACCCAAGGGGTTGGACAACACCTGGGGCCCTCTTAAATCCACGGTGTGTGTTGCCAATGAAGTGGCAGACACGTGGCGTTTTGTAGGCATTTATTCCTGTTGAGTTTAGATGTGTGGAGCAATTCACAAGTCGGTGTCCAGGTCTGATCGCCAAAGCACAGGGGAGAGTCAGTGGCGCAGTGGTAAGCGCGCAGCATCACAAACCCATTGATTCCGAGTTCGATACCCATTCATGGCCAATACCAGTGAAGATTATCTGTACCAGTCCTTGGGCCTCGCCTACGTCTACTCAGCACCAAATGAGTACCTGTTGCGTGTGTAAACATCGCCACTGGGCAGACAAATGGGGCCGGTTGTGATGCTGTCCACCCACACCCTCATTTGCCATTCCGGCCTTAATAGGTGCTTGCTGACACGCATAGTTTAATTGACAGAGCTGAAACTGCCGTCTAATTGTTTAATAATGGATGAAACCTTCATTAATCCCCTGTATATTTAGGATATCTAATGACTTGTACATTGTTGACTATTTACATTTCTAATTTTTTTTACCTCCAAATATAGCTACAGGCTGTAGATGTTTTTTTTGTTCCCACGTAGACCCGCGATATATACCGGATACGGTAATATTCTGTGACACACTTAAAAAAAAACTTTTGAAAGGACGTAGGCCAAAATTGTTGGGGTGTCCGATTACAGATGCGACAACAACAACAAAAACAACCAGCGTTGTAGTCTTTACGACCTTGTAGTAGAGAGCCTTAATCAATTGAGAGCATGAGAAGACGAAAATGCTTGAAATCGGGTTAGGATTACAAATGGTGCTCGTGAAAACCGAAATAATATTTTGTTTATTGAAGCACACTTGAAATCGTTGTATTCCTAAGCACTAACCGGTATCGAAACTGAGCTTTTGAAAAAATCGTGGTCTATAAAGTTAGGTAAGAACTAAATTCACGTAATCATGAGAGAATAATTTAATGCTGACCTCTCACGATGGAAAAGCGGCGAAGCATTGAGTTTATTCGGGCGACTGGTGTGGGATTGACACGTGGTGGCGTGAGACCAGCCACAGATTTAAGTGGCCGGAGTGGAATTTCTGTGTCCAATGTGTAAACGAGTTCTGATTATCATGCATGTGAAGCGCGTGGGGGGGGGGGGGGAATGCAAAACAACGAGCATGTGAGACTTGAGAGGTCCGGGCAATGGTGCGTGATTGGTGCATTTGAGTCATGTTGGTGCTTTGCGCTTAAGCCCAAACTCATGTCCTGTTTTTCCCCTCTGCCTATGACTTGACAGACACTCTTTATAATACACGACATGCGCAACTTTTTTCCGTAGACCGTATCGAGGTGCGGTCACAGTCGCTCAACGAATCCGCATCGTATTGCAGTTGCAACATTTTCGATGACCTATCTCCAACCTCTCCCCACCATAAAGGAACCAACCGACCAAGGAGCTGCCAACATCGTAATGATGATAAAAAGCACAAACCTGGGCCAGCGCGGCTGGTTTCGTTGGTTCGGGAATGGCTGTGCCGTGCCCCAGTCATTGAGATTCCTGCACCCAACGTGAACCAACCCTGACCCCTGCCCCCTTTGTGCTGGTGGTAACCAGGACTTAACCTCTCACTGACAACATTTTTGCGACACGCTGGTAGACTTTGCGGTAGGCGCGTGACTAGTAGCCTGCCAGCCATCGTGAGGTTGTATTACTCGATGCGGCTGTTGCCGGTGCGGAAATATTTTCCACGCCGCCGACGCGGCACCGAACCAAGCTGCGGTTGAGTCCCTGCTTACGATTGTCAGTGCCCAGCACACGGACATCACGTTTCTCCGTTTTAAATTGAACGGCAACCTGTACACGATTACACGAACATTTTACATTTCTTAATAGTGTCTCTGTAGATTTATATAGAGGTTTTTTTAGGTTTCTATAAGCAAGGTTTTTTTTTTTAAAGAAAAAAAGTAACTAAGATTTGTAGTGTGTGTTGCTTTGTGTCGTTTTTTCGTTCTATGTTTCCTAAAGGAACGGCTTAGAGCCTAGAGCAGCGTCTCCCAAACTCCATCCTCGTAAGCCGCGACCGACGCACCTTTTGCGAGCTGACCAATTTAAAATTCCGTCCCAATGCACAACGCCGTACATACGCCGTACATGCCTCCTGATCGCCACACTCGTTTCAGGTGATGCATAGGAACATCGCTTTGAATCAATGTCGAAACATCGTGTGTGTGTGTGTCTTTGTATATGTATGCGCATGATTCCCGCTCACGGTCAACACCGATGACGATTATCTGAACCGGTCCCAGGCCCTGCACGAGGTCGTCTCAGCCTCAAATGAGTGCCGGGTGCGAATGTGTAAACATAGCCACAAGAGAGACAAAGGCGGCCGGGCATAGTAGTGACCACCCACCCCTTTGTGGGTGTTCGCTAACAACACTTGCGCCATCAGTTGGTTGAGGCTATATGGATGGACCTTTGTCGCTGTACATGTGTGTGACAAGTGATTTGGAAGGGATGATATCGAAGGATAGAGAGACCAGTGTGTGTGTGTTCACGTGTCCAGTATTATGTAGAGCAGTGGTTCTTAACCTTTACTGCAGCCTTGCAGTACAATGCTAATAAATACATAGTGTTTGATTAAACAAAGTAGTTGTACTCACGGGCCCGTGCTTAATTTGTGTGTCGATGATTTATCTTCTAAACACAAATGTGGCCATGTCTCGCACTCCCAGAAAGGGCATCTCGCACCCCCAGGGCATGCGTGCACCCCATGTGAAGAGCCACTGCACTCGAGGGCAATGATTCCCATTTCAAAATGAGCAGAGAAACCACCCATGAGCGCGCGTGTGTGTGTGTGTGGGACGTGTTTAACAATCGACGGGTGCGTTTAGTGTGCAACAACTTAATCTGAT